AGGGTATTAGAACCACCTGTTATTTTCTATTGGTTAGGTGAAGGCAAGCAGCGATTTTGTTCTAATTTTATGTCACGAGAATATTACTTTCCCTTTATATTTTTTTTTCTCTATATATGTAGGTAATTAAGTTTTACCTTTTGTAATGTGATATGTTAAATTTATCCGTTAAAATATTCATGATGAGAAATGTCAAGTTCTATTTTGGAGGTATAAAAAAAAAATGCAATGTTCATAAGATCGGAAACTTACGTTGTGATGGTGATATGTTACAGTCTGACTCATAGAAGTCAATCACCGCCAAATAATTGTTTGTTACTCTAAAAGGTTGTTCATGTTTTTGGGTGATTTGGATTATGTAAATTAATATATGTTATGTCATATTTTGTGCATTCTGAATGCATGCCGAAACTTAGCTCTGTTAGTATTGATTTTAGATTGTAAACCTTTGACAGTATACTAAAATAGTCAATGTTATGAAAGTAATGTGTATCTTTAGTTTATTTAGTTTAGTATTTGTTATATGATCCTGTAGACACTATATCCTTTGATAAGCATGACTACGCTCATCAGTTACCTATGTGTCTGGGCCAGACACTATTGCAGGATGGCCGACTGTTAACTATCGTGTGACGCACCATTAATTAAAAATGGTAAAGTCAATAATCATGTAACCTGAAACGGAACGTCAGAGGCCAGAGCCAAAGTAATCTATGTGACATTGACAAGTGGATGACCGATAATTGAACGGAGGCAGCGGGAGTTTTGGAGCGAAAGTGTTTATATTATTATAAAAACAAATAAGAGATAGATAATTGTGAATATTGTAGGCATTGAGGTGTTTCTCTCCCTGACTAACCGGCATTACGCCTAAGTCGTCAGGATACTAGTGATTTTAAAAATATATATAATATATATCCAAAATACTGCAATAAGCAACAGTTAAAAGTGAAATTGATACAACAGATTTCATATATACAACAAATCTCACAGACAACTCACTCTAAAAGGCTTATTTGAAGGTGTAGAAGTATCATGCTATACGATTGTATGAAGATAAACAATAATAAATAGAAAAGAACAGTTCAGACATTAGGTACCAACGTACAGTTGTACTGTCCATATCATGTTTTTTTATTTGTATATATTTTCTCTATAGAATAATATTAATATAAATAATACTAAATCAGTATATGTATGAATACTTTAACCAGTTTATTAACGTATTTTAACAGATTTTTTGGGGTTATTAATCAATCAATACTGGGATATGTCCGAATGGTTTTTTTTATAATTTAGATTAATTCTTCTCCTTTGATATTGATCTTGATTAAGATTTTGTAAAATGTGGTAAATACCTTATATTTTGAAATAACAATTAGCAATTCAGTGATATTAATCTGATTTTACGTGCGATTACTCTGACCATTTCAATGCAATTTGGAGAGCTTTTACTAGATACCTTATTATCTCATATGAAACTCATGTAAACATATAGATACGAGTTATTGAAGCGAATATCGATAACTTATATCAATTTCATGGCTTGTACTAGCGATGTAGCTTAAAGGGCATGGTAATACATTAGTTAGTTGAATGTTATAATGATATTTGTAGAACTCATATTTTAAAAAATAAGGGTAGTATTGTAAACATGCTTTAGTTTTTAACTGCATTGATCGTAATGTCTGAATACTACTAGTAGTAATATATATATAATGTAACATACATTACATATATTACACGTTAAACATGTTTGGATACGTGTATTACAAACAGGGCGTGTTCATTGAAGTATATTCAAACAATAGCATGAAACTTGTACAGCCACCTGCTTCACAATCCCATTCAAATTGTTCGTTCGTAGCTTTTACCAGCAATCTGTTGGCTGATATACCATTTAGGGCCTGTACACACAACAGACGACAGTTCGCGACATATGTTTTTATTATAAGGATGGCTTAAGGCGCTTGAGGAGCTTGCGTTATATGATACATTTTTAAATGTCTTACTATACAAAGAGACAAGCGCGCCGAATCTTGTCCCATTTGTGTGCAGGCCTTTTTAGACACCTAAAACATGTCCATTCATTGACACGCTATATAAAGCCTATCAGTTGTTTTGTAAAATCTGCGCTTTACCTCCGAACCTTCTTATATGCAGCAAATTATTACATAAATCTAACTAGCATCGTCTAATGACAAACAATTGAATATGTGTGGCGGGCAGACATGGATCCTATTCATTCTTCTTGTCAGGATTGCTTATAGAATTGTCTGTTTCTTCTAATTCTTCGTCTGAGTAGTTCGTAGGCTCTTCCCCGGGTTTTAGAAGTCGCCCGACTAACTCGTATTTCTCTGTAACATTCAGGTTAAAACCAGTTACTGGCGAATCATCATTGCAACTAGTTTTTTCTAATAATGAGCGATTTATTTTCCTTCTAATTTAATTAATAATAATATTAACTATTTAACTATTGTATTCATTAATTTTAGCGTATTTTTATCCTTGTTACTAATAAACTCTAAACCTAAAATTTTAGTCCAACTATGGAAGTTTGGCCATCGTTTTAATTTATTATTAAGAAAATAGTTTGATTAATAATATATTATTGAGGTTATGACAAAACAGACTTCAATTCCATTGTTAAGCATAATTCAAAAACTACGGCTCAGAATTTGATCAAATTTATATAGGTCTATGCTCATTGCTGTAATATTAATTAATAAAAAAGAATGATTAAAGTTATGAAGTAACACACTTAACCAAAATACAGTTAAAATGAGAAGCTCTTCATTTTTTAAACAGTTATAAAATTACAAGACAGTTCAATATTGTTTACAATATGTATTAATTTGATATTTCTGAATGGATTATAATGGAATGCTCCCGCATGCACTAACGGTTTACGCTGGCGGGGCATTAGCAGAGGATGATAAGATGAGCATGAGATCTGGTCTGTTAGCCCATCCTGGTATATTCACCAAAAATTAATCACGATGGTTTTCCAGGGTTGTGTTATAATATTTTAATAAACATTTTAGTGTATTGTCACTATTCTTTTAGTCCTAAATTATCTAATAAATGGGGGAAGGCGATTGTTGGTAATATGGACTAATGATTCCATTGCTAGCAATGTATCTATTGCTACAATGTTTTTTATGAATAATTTTGTAAATGTTGAAAGAATTCCTGGGCAAAGTAGTGCTAGTATCGTAATCAATAAAAAAAATATATTACTAAGGCGCAAAATATTTACTTATTAAATTTGATTGGTGGATATTTCCAATAGGTATCAATGTTAATCGATATGTTGTTATGAATTCTCATAAAAATATGATAAGAAATCAAAACTTCGATATGTTTTGGTGGGTAGATAATGTTTCGATTACAAATCAGGCCGAAGTAAGAAATATGGTCAATAATGGACACTGATACAAACTTGTATGACTAATCTATACTAATATTATTAACACAAAAGTGTACCTGTTTGTCAGATTTTAAGAAATAAATGGCTGAACCAGTTTTAACGTAGTTAACAATAATAATAACTCAGGACAATTCACAAATCGATAAACAGTCCTAAACTAGACAGAACTTGTGTTATGGGTACTGAAATAAATACATAGATATTTTTTGCAAATACGTACTAAGTATACGTAGAAAACACCCAGATAAATACAAATAAATTATAGTCATAAGTACAAATGTTTGTATAGTGAGAGTAATCGAACCTGCGACCATCGGAAGTAAGGTGTGCTAAACCGCTATAACAGTGAAGACGTTAAATTTTACGTAAAGATAGCAGGCGGGTGGACAAGGCTACCTTTTATATAAAAGTATATGAAGTCATGGGTAGCATAGAATAATTTTGTAGCATTTGTGATTAAATTAACCATATTATATAAGAACATTATTTATGAATTTTTCGATTTAATTTCGAGACTATTCATTTTAAATTAGCTTGCAGTGTTTGTATCTCTTCAAATCTCAAGCCTCATATATACAGGACTAAAGGAGAGATGCTTGACTGGCTACTCTAGTAGCCCTGGCTCTACGAGAGGCTAAATGCGGACATAGAGTCCAACATAAAATACTGAATTAAAGAAGTAACATTGATTTGCTTACCTCTAAACTGTGCTTCCCATTCTTTAACTGATTCCATTTCCATTGAATTGAGATCACTGAGATCATCATATCCTTTATCTGATGATGTCACAGAGAATGTGGCGAGTCCTCTTGAAGCATCCTTTCCTCCGAAAGCAGCATAGGGACCGCCTATATAAAATAAAGCAGTCAATTTAATTTTTATTTATTGCTGAAAATGGTATGGTGAATTATGTTAAATATTAATTAAAAAATATGGAAGAAAAAATTTGTTAGTAATTTATAAGTACTAATAAATAAACAATAATAAATCCTGTTGCTAGAAATATATCCATGTGACACTGCTCTGTATAGTGAATTTGCCATGATAAGCAAACTAACTTGATTCCTATCATTCCCCACTGGCCAGTTAAGAAAGGTGGGTGCACTAATCCCTATATTATTCCACTAAAAGTGCAAAACACTATAGTTACAGTGGTAAAAAGAAAAATATATATTGTATTACTAATCTGTAAAATGGATTGGAAACTAAACTTGTTCGCGACTATTGTAAATATTTGATTATTGTTAGCTTAATAAAATTTATAATTGTAGTAGTTTCAATTCCCTAATAGGTAGAATTAAATATAATTGTATTGTATGTAAAGTTTAAATTAATAAATAAAGGAGCGAGTAGAGGTGGTCTTTTCGCGCTCTCCGTCCCGCTCGCACCTATGTGCGTAACACAATCGTTACCTAGTACGTGACACGGTGCGAGCGGGCGGAGTATAAATATAGGTGCCGAACGCGGCACAATTCATTCCGCTTCCATCGCTAGTACAGACCACCGAACTCTGCTCGAGAGGATATTTACACTTGTCTTTCTTGTTTCCACCTGCACCCGCAACCTTACAAACAAGTACTGGGAACATACCCGTACATCTGGTCCTTCGAGAAGCCGGATTGTTGGAAGAAGAAAGCAAGACTGCACAGAGATCAAGATCACAGATGCCAACAACAAGAAGACAAAGAACAGCCATGGAAGCTCAATCAAACGAAGAAAACACCGCCGCCGTCACGCCGACCGTCGCCGCCACTACGTCGCCTGCTGCCGCCACTACGTCGACCACCACGACGTACACGTCCTCGGAACCTACTGCTACCACAAGAATTCCTGTTAGACATTCCTGTTAGATAAAACTAATGTTAGTTGCTAAGTGTGATCTCGTGTATTAATATTCTATAATATTTACAGCAACGAGCGCCTGCGCCACAACAACAACAAAACCAACCACAAATGTACCAGCAGGCGCTACAGAAACTAATGGCGACGTTAAGATCGCCAACCAGCCACAATCAACAGCAGGAGATATTACAAATTCTCAAGTCAAATCCACCGCTAATGGCAGACTTCATCAAACAGAGACAGGTGAGTGTTTAATTGATTAAACAATTAAACTTAATGTAAGCACTTCTGAATAGTCATATTTTTTTTATTCTGCCACACATTCATTACAAGAAGAATGGTAAAGAAACTTGCGTTATACTCTTTTAAATAAATGTTATGAAAATAATTGTAAATTTTGTCTGAATACAAACTGTTAAATAGCAAAGTTGACATAAATGAATAGTTTCTTGAGTAACAAAATAAATTAGTCATAGTTATTGGATGGAATGCACATTCTCATGAGTTGACAGTCTGTTATAAATCTGCCAGAAAAGATTTAAATGTCAAATAAAACAGTTCCTTTGCAAAAAGCTTACTATAAAATTGATGAATTCGTCAACAATAATAATGTTTTTATAGAAAAACTTTAAATCCATAGCACTAACAATATTATTTGGTTACACTAATAATGAGTGCGTAGCGATTTCTATGTTGATTATCGCATGCCTCTTACTTGTTATACTGTAATTATTTATTAAAAAAACATCTATTAAAAAGAGCAACACACAAGTTTCTTGCTCATTCTTCTTGTGATGAATCTGCATTCCGAATGAGTGGTAGAATCAAAATATGACTATTCAAAAGTGCTTGTAATGAGTTTATTTGAATAAAGATTATTTCTATTTCTATTCACATTATGATGTGCTTGATGTAAATAGACTCTCTCTACTGATTTCCTGTATATAATTGATTTTTATAATTAAAAAAAAAATCAACGAAAGACGTATGTAGATGTCATAACGATTTACACATCTTATTGATTTTATATATATGTAAAAACTAAATTTTTATTAAGGAGAATAAATACCAATTTTTTATTTTCTTGTAGTGGAGAAAATGAAGATTGACAGTTATAACTAATTTAGTATTTTTAACGTAGCACATTGTGTTTATCATATTATGAAATATTGTACATGCTTCGTACTATTTAAATGCTATCTAAGCACATGGAATGAAGGAAATATTCTTTATCTCTTGAGGTTAAATTATAATTATATGATCACGATTAGTGAGTGGCACATGCTGATAATGTGTTATCTTCAATAAAACGGCCAAGGGTTTCTGTTAGGTATTGACAACATTATTGAATGTTTTATAACATGTTTAATGATAAACTAAAATTAATTACTTGCGAAGGCCAATGATTTGTATGTAGACATGTATGTAGCAATCATTGTATCAATGTGTTCCCATTGACTATAAATAAATATTATTTATCGAGGACAATTATATATTAGGCTAGTCCATATTTAGACGAAAGTTTATAGATTTAAAGACTTGATTTTTCATGTCCATTAATAATATTTGAACAGTAAAATTGATATCAGTCTTTCTAGAAGATTGCATGGTCAGGTTTATTACATTCAAAAGCCCTAATAACGGACTACTCTAACAAATATTCCAATATACTATTGTTATTGAGTAAAGACAACATATGCTTTATGACTAGGGCCCTCACAGTACACTACAAATTAAAAAAGCATATGGCAAGCCTAGGCTTGTGCACAACAAAAATCTGTAAAAACACATTCTATGTGGTTGTAACCCATGCATAAATGTCGAAATGTCTCCTTTGGAAAGTTTACCTGAGGAGATAAAGACCATCACTCCTAAGAATATCCCTCAATTCTTGTCCTTGACGGGTCTAGGTAGTGACTTCAGAAAAAGGGCGAGCACAATAGATCTATGTAGGGCGCAGTGCTCTATAGATCCAAGCACTTGCACAGTAGCCCAAACCCCCAATAAAAAAAATGGTGGGATGGGCTTACGGTCGGTTTAAAGACCATCGAAAATAACATATACTATTAGTAACAATTCGCGGTTAACGTATGTATATCTTCCGCTTTATCTTACATCATAAAAATGGAAACCCAAGAAAAAGGTTTAAATATTTATATACTGTGTAATTTTTTTGGTATATCTGATATATCTCATTTGAAACGGAAGGTATGAAGTAACCGCCCTATTGCATCAATAGCAGATTAAATTCGTCAAAAAATGACATTAATATCGTCAGAAGTCTGAAGTGCTGAATTTATTCATCCTAAAATGTTGATGCAATAGTATTGCGAAAGTATTTATTATTTTATTAAACCTATACAAAGGTTATATGATGAGTTTTCTCTACAATTTAGTAATTACATTTGCTCTAAAAAAAGGATATACATATGCACGTGAATTTGAACAGTTTTAATTTCAATCATCGTAATAATCAACAGGCAGAATTAACTTCATCGATCTTTGTCTACCACATCCTCATTTTCAATTCCGAATTGCATAAATTGCAGAAGAATAATCGAGTTTGATTTATTTTACATCATTAAAAACTTAAGTCAATAGATACCGGAAATAATTATATTTCCCAACTTGTCCTTCCGGAAGAAAATCCTAACTGCATGCAAGGTTTACTATATAGGACAATTTACAAGGACAGTCTATTGAATGTTGTTTTGTTGCAGAACGCCCAAAACCAACAATCGGCCGCGGGCGGCGTGGGCGGAGTGGGCGCCGCGTGCGGCGTCGGGCTCGGCGGCGGCGGCGTGCCGCAGCAGCAACAGCAGCTGCATACCATGATGCAGCCGCAGCAGCAGCAGAGGCTGCAGCAGATGCACCAGATGCTGCCCCAGCAGACGCAGGTCCGTGCACGCCAATGTTACACCCTCTACGTTAAGCTTGGGAGTCATCTTTTAATTCTGTCATAAAACATGTGACTATTTATGGACTACTGTCATAATTTTTTTATAGTACATACTCAAAGATATAAATGGGTACTCGGTATATATCTTTCCACCACAAAGTACAGGTATAAATAATTTTTAACTGGTCCAATCGATAAGTTGGTGGGAAAATATACTATACAGCTTGCTAGATAGATACTAACTATTGTTTCAACACTAGGAGAATTAAACTTAATATAAGTATTTTGTAAATTGATATATTTGATATTGTCAGCCCTGAACTCTAATGTTTATGTTAAGATATATCTTCTAAATTAAAAATGTATCCTAATTTCTGTCTACTTTGAATTATCAATAGAACTTGCGTTACGAATACAAAAATGATGCACCTGCTGAAAGATGATATATATAATGAAAATCGGCCTATATTTCTTAAAGATTATTAAAAATATATCGTTATAACAGTGAATACATTTGTCCATAGGTGGGAAATGTATCAAACGTTGGCATGGGCGGCGTGGGGACGGTGGGAGGAGTGGGCGGCGCCGGCGGCGTCGGCGGCGTCGGTGGGGTGGGCGGCGTGGGCAGCATGCCGCCGGCGGGCGTCGGAGCTGCTGCTGCTGCGGCAGTCGCCCGCGCCGCCCGCGCCGCACCCGCCGCCCGACGACCAGCTGCCGCCGATGACGCCGCAGGACCAGCTCACTAAGTTCGTCGAGCAGTTGTAGTGTACATAGCCGAGGCGCGGCGCGTCGCCTTGTAATATATAAGATACCGGTGACGCCGCGCGGTCCCCGTCTCCAGTCCCCCGCCCCCTCCCCTCCCCGCCCTCGCTCGTGACCCCTCCCCAGCCCTATTTATTGTCGATAAAGTTATTGTTAGTGACGCGAGGGACGTAAGTTAAGTATTACGATGACCGAATCGAGCGCTCAATGTACAAAATGTAAATATGAGAGAAGTACGTCCTGTCAGCTTCTGCGTAATATAAGTTGTTCGTACTGTAGGTACATTATGATACTTATTCTGTTTATTGTAATTAAATCATTTTATAATATAATTATGTGATTATAAACCGTTGTTTCCTTTAGCTATTTCCGTGGAACCCTTGTTTGTCATACACGATCAAAATCAGTCGTCTTACGGACACACGCAACTATTTTTCGTTAGGTTAGGTTACACAATGAAACGTAAAAAAATACCTTTTGCAGTAGTTTTTGTACATTGTACTTTTTAGAATAAAGTTTATGTGACCAATATACCTGTATTAATATAAAACGGTATCGCTGTTAGTTTCTCCGCTTATAAGTCATGCCACTGTCTGATCACATACTTTCACTTTCATTTAGACATTTTTACAGCACCATTCAGTCTCAAGGTTTTCATAGTTTGTGTTGTGGATACTAGATAACTGATAGGAATATTTTTTTATTTTATAAATACATAATATACATAGTAAACAACCATACTAATACTGCTAATACGAAGTGTTTTCTTTGTAAATCTTACTCAAAGAAACAAATGTTTGTATCATGCAAGGCATATAACCCATGATCTTTGGAAATTAGACATCATGTTAGACCACTGAGGTGAATAGTAAATATATAATGCTGGACAATTTACACAGCGCCATCTAATCCCAGATCAAGCAGATTTTGTGCTTTTGGGTTTCTAGACAACTGATTATAGTATGTTTTTAAATATATACACAAAATTTATAACCTACGTGGATAAACCGGGTCACATACAGTAATGTGGTAATACTATTTTTTTACAAAGGTAGTATTTAAATATTCCATCCTCGTTACTTGATACGAGATGCGGATGTATATTGCCCACATCCGCTTTTCGCTCATAATTACAAATAAATAACCCCGGCCAATTAACACAGCGTCATCTAGTCCCGAGGTAAGCAGAGCTTGTGTTATGACTACTAGACAACAGATATAAAGACTTTTTGTAAATACATAAATAATATACATAGAAAATACCCAAACCGATACACACACACACACACACACACACACACACCGATAACCGATACGAACACTCGACCATCGGAAGTAAAGTGGGGTGCTAAAACTGCTAAAAGACCTCCTAGGCCATCAACCATAAATGTTAGTATTGTGCGAGATCATCGAACCTTCAACCTCTCAAACATATATAAGTACTGTAGGTACCTACTACCATCCGAGGTGGAATGCACGAGCAAAATGCCCCATGCCCCAACTCCGGCATACGCGCTTGCAGGTACATCTTGTGGTTTTTAGTGGGTATAAATACCACACCACCTCGCCATCCCTCCGGCCGGGCCTTTGAAGTTTATCCACAAGTTTAAAAAAAAGGTCCCTACAATTACAATGTATATTTTTCTTTTCAGCCGAGAACCAATTATAGTACAGTATATCTTGTGAATAGGACAAATAAAATATAATAATAAGTATATAAAACGCTTTATTTAAATTCATGTGAATGTTAAAATAAATATTTTAGGTAATTAGTTGGATAATTATTAACATTTTGCTGTGCTGTACATTAATTCACAATTTCTACATCAATATATGCTCTGGTATATACATTTATACCTACATTCATTCGTTAGTTCACAACTATTCGTTTTATAATGTATTGGCGAACTCAAGGTACAATAGTATTTGTGAGTTATAAATAACAAGTTACATTCGTTAAGTACTTAGTTCAATAATAACGTAGTAAAGCTTTTAATTTTATATATTTACACAAAATCAATGGAAGCAAACATTGCCGAGATCAATCATTACCAATTTTCTTATATAATTGAAATGGCATACGAGCTGATGGGCTACTTGATGCCTAGTACCTCACATGTGTTACCATTCCGGATGACTACGAGTTTATATCTCATTCTTCAATCGAGGCAAGGAAACAAGTGTGTTGGCAAGAGTTTAATTTTATAATAAATTCGATGTTAGTATTTGTATAATTTACTATCATCAAAGTGTGATGTACTGACTAGTAGGTGCGCACCGATAACTGAATAGCCCGGGATAGACCAGAATTAACCAAATATTTTTGATTAATATACCTGAAATCACAGAAATTTGCACAGTAAACATATTTATTTCTGTTTAACAAGCTCCTTAAATACATATTTTTCATGATCTTCATTGCATTTCAAACTCAGAACTTAGTACTTAAACGTACACTATTCGACAAGGATGTGTTGTACGTGGACTGAGTTATACGACCAATTCTCGCTTCTCCTATTCACGTTGATTTATTATTAAATTAATTAGCGTTTCCACACCTCGCATTGTATACGTAGCGCGTGTTTTGTATTTTTATTTTTACTTGTGTATAATATATAGAGGGCATACTGCACCGACCCCAAATAATGGGATAAATAATCAATTGAAAACTGATAGGATGTCATTTATAAAGCAAAAGATGATCAAAATTAATCTTATATTACATCTCTTCTAAGAAAAAGATATTTTTTGTAACCAGATATTTTGTTATATCTATTCATATGTTCCAGATTCCAGTCACAACACCCGAACAATTTGACACTTGTAGAAATAAAAAATGAAAACTATTTTTTCAGTAAATAGTAAGTAAGTAAACAGTAAGCATACAATATGTTTTTTGCATTAAAAAACATTATTAATATTTTATTTTTGGAAAATAAATGTGAGTTTTTTTTATCTGTGGTTGACATGGAGAGTCCATGATTGATCATCGTATGACGTCAAAATTCAATAAACAAAACGTTGTTAAGCAATCTTATGTCATTTGTTCTATAGTTTCCTGCTAAAATCGCTCAAATATTTCAATTTGTGTTGTCTAAAGTTTCACGAAATGGAGTTAGGCTATATTAAAACGGATAATGCAAATTGTTGGGAATCTTTGTTTAATAATAATAAATAATATTTTCAAATAATTTGTTGGATATTTAATTGTCGTACTTCGACACATAAGCACAGCATACGTTTTGTAGCTTGTCACTTTCGCAATTCCAATAAAATCTGTATACTTATCACTCAAAACAGTTAGAGCGCCGTATTAGCCTTGTTTCGTTTATTGAAATATGACGTCATAGTTCGGAAATGTCACGTGACATAGTGTTTTAGCGCGAAATTCAAACCAAGAGAATAAAATTGTAGGGGGGTTTTAAATAAGTCTACAAAAATTATAAAATATTTTTCAGAAAATTGTCAAGTAGCCAATTCTGTATACTGTTCTAGCAGTTTTTAGTTCTATTTCTCGCCCTCTTTGTTGAAATAAGAATAATCTTTATTCAAATAAACTTAATATAAGCAGTTCTGAATAATCATATTTTTTTATTATACTCATTCGAAACGTAGCCATCACGATTGACATAAGTAAATAAATAGTTATCTGAATAACAAAATAAATTGGTCGTACAATAGGTATAAGACCAGATACAAGCAACACCCGTTCAGGAGTATAACGTTGATAGTTCTGAATCCATACAACATAATAAATTATTATTAATTACTTTCACTTTCAAAACAGTTTTATTCTAATCACAGTTTCAATACCGATAAAAAAGGTTTATAAAATCCACTAACATAATACAGTCCACTAACAGGTAGGTATAGCGTAACAAACACCAATTTATAAATTACATGGTATATATAATACTGTACAATACAAGTTACTTGAGTTTGCCAATAATAGTACATTTGTCCATGATACTGTCAACCCAAGTTCATTTAACATAAAGAAACTCACAAATTCAGTTTGTATATGTTTATATGACACAAGCTCACAACCCTTTGCACTCGTATGTCCCCGTACGGAGGACATCGGTCGTTTTATCGTTGCGCTCCTATGTCCCCATGCAAGGCACATTGCATCTCAACCGTTAGGCTAATTCCGATTGCGAACTTTCTAAAGCATAATTACGAGTGCATAGTGGTAAAATGGAGACTCAGAGATACTCATGAACATTACATACTGAATCTACTGATGGTACCGAAAACCCCTGAACCCTTGTCATACAAAATCATTCACCAAACACCTTAAAATACTAACATAATTTAATATAAAAAAAAAACAATAAACGTTTACAACAAACTAACAATTTTATCGTAAGAAATAAATATTTTAGACATATACAAAGGTGTTAACGATTTGTACTTTAGTAACAGAGATAAAGTTAAAATTGTGATAGTAGTAGCGAAGTGTAGTGAAAAGCACTGGCCTGAAATATCATATTACTTACGATAAATAAGGGTAATACAAACAAAATATATCTAAAACACACACCGTAACACAACGACACGTTAACAGATCAACAATGTAAAGTCATATGGAGCACTACGTACAATGAAGATAACCATGCAAAAACCATACTCTTAATAAATAAACACGTTCATACAAATATTTGCCACCAATTATACTCATTTTTAAAGCCATAATGAATATTTTAAATGTTTTTTTAACTCAAATGTAGTATCAAATAAACTCTAATTATGAAAGAGCAATTTATTTTAGATACTTGAAAATATTTTTTCCAACATTAATTGTTACAATGCTAAGTGCATTGTAACAATTAATGTTCTGTGCGTCTCTTATAGTTTCTTTACTCTACTTAAGAAATAAAATATATATACCTACATAAAAAATGGCAACACTTCCTCTCAATTTATAAACCAATATGTTTACATTCATTGTATGTGCTCCATATACTTTACTGTTGGTCTGAACACGTTAAGATTCACACTTAACTACGCATAAACAACGTATTATGCACATTTCCTTAGATATTTTTTGTATTTTTATCATTGCTTGCAACATATAATTTATTTAACAGTGTTAAGTACCAATAGTCAAGTGGGTGATCGCCCAGGTCAATAATAAAATCTCTTATTAAAGTGTACAACAAATGTATGCTAATTGAAACGCTTGCTGCATTATTTAGTAAGCTCGATGCAACAAAATGTATTTAAATGGCAACATTAGGAAAACATGCATAGATCATAATAGGTCGGCATTTAAATTGCAAAACAACCATTAGACCAGTAACAGTGAAATAAATATCAGGTTCGTTGGAATTGTATACGCTCATGTAAGGGGCTTCTTAAATTACGATACTGGTAGAGTACGATTTTTCAGTCAAAAATACGCGACTCGAGGTTTCAAACTATTAGGTATGTTAACAGAAATATGTTATACCATTTGCAACGCATAAGCGACTAAAGAAAGTATTTAATACTGAATAATTCTAGTGAAAACAGTTCATTTTTCTTAATAACTTGCCTCGTGTTATATATAAACGACAAAAAAATGTTTTGATAAACCTCTTACTATGAAACTGACGGCGGCGTATAATAATACTGCCGTTAATTTCATAGTAAAGAGTGGTTGAAGCAATTGCAAATAGAGGCAGATTGACAGAGAGTTACATATAAAGAAGAGAAAAAAATAAAACAAACGCTTGCATTATGCGGGTAAATAATGGTGAGATCTGTATGTAAAAAAAACATAAAAATACAGTCGTAACTTAATACAGGGATAAGATATATTCCTGTACATAATTATGCTCATTTAAGACCTGAGTAATTAGAAATACAATATGCAAACGACAGACAAGTCATACATCGCGTGCAGTCGGCAGGATACTGGTAACAAAGTATGCAAATTACTATTCCAATGTGACCTCGAATCCAAATATAAACCAGTCTAAGTATCGTAATATAAGAATAGACTAAAATACCGACAACTTTGTGTCAAACAAAACATCATACAATCACTAATAGAATATTCTCACTATACATTGCATCAGAAAAAATTGATACGAAAAAAACAAATTGTCGCTAACAGAGGAATGTGCAACTGTTTTTCATTTTAATTACATGCCTTAATATCTTAATCAACTTAATATGCTTGCACTCAGTCTTTCAATTTATGAAACTGTATATATATAATATATATCCAAAATACTGCAATAAGCAACAGTTAAAAGTGAAATTAATACAACAGATTTCATATATACAACAAATCTCACAGACAACTCACTCTAAAAGGCTTATTTGATGGTGTAGAAGTATCATGCTATACGATTGTATGAAGATAATCAATAATAATTAGAAAAGAACAGTTCAGACATTAGGTACCAACCTACAGTTGTACTGTCCATATCAAGTTTTTTTATTTCTATATATTTTCTCTATATAATAATATTAATATAAATAATACTAAATCAGTATATGTATGAATACTTTAACCAGTTTATTGGGTAGTTTACGTATTTTAACCGATTTTTTAGGGTTATTAATCAATCAATACTGGGGATATGTCCGAATGGTTTTTTTATAATTTAGATTAATTCTTCTCCTTTGATATTGATCTTGATTAAGATTTTGTAAAATGTGGTAAATACCTTATATTTTGAAATAACAATTAGCAATTCAGTGATATTAATCTGAATTTACGTGCGATTACTCTGACCATTTCAATGCAATTTGGAGAGCTTTTACTAGATCCCTTTTATCTAATATGAAACTCATGTAAACATATAGATATGAGTTATTGAAGCGAATATCGATAACTTATATCAATTTCATGGCTTGTACTAGCGATGTAGCTTAAAGGGCATGATAATACATTAGTTAGTTGAATGTTATAATGATATTTGTAGAACTCATATTAAAAAAAAATATAAGGGTAGTTTTGTAAACATGCTTTAGTTTTTAACTGCATTGATCGTAATGTCTGAATACTACTAGTAGTAATATATATATAATGTAACATACATTACATATATTACACGTTAAACATGTCTGGACACGTGTATTACAAACGTGGCGGGCGTGCTCATTGAAGTATATTCAAACAATAGCATGAAACTTGTACAGCCACCTGCTTCACAATCCCATTCAAATTGTTCGTTCGTAGGTTTTACCAGCAATCTGTTGGCTGATATACCATTTAGGGCCTGTACACACAACAGACGACAGTTCGCGACATATGTTTTTATTATACGGATGGCTAAAGGCGCTTGAGGAGCTTGCGTTATATGATACATTTTTAAATGTCTTACTATACAAAGAGACAAGCGCGCCGAATCTTGTCCCATTTGTGTGCAGGCCTTTTTAGACACCTAAAACATGTCCATTCATTGACACGCTATATAAAGCCTATCAGTTGTTTTGTAAAATCTGCGCTTTACCTCCGAACCTTCTTATATGCAGCAAATTATTACATAAATCTAACTAGCATCGTCTAATGACAAACAATTGAATATGTGTGGCGGGCAGACATGGATCCTATTCATTCTTCTTGTCAGGATTGCTTATAGAATTGTCTGTTTCTTCTAATTCTTCGTCTGAGTAGTTCGTAGGCTCTTCCCCGGGTTTTAGAAGTCGCCCGACTAACTCGTATTTCTCTGTAACATTCAGGTTAAAACCAGTTACTGGCGAATCATCATTGCAACTACTTTTTTCGAATAATGAGCGATTTATTTTCCTTCTAATTTAATTAATAATAATATTAACTATTTAACTATTGTATTCATTAATTTTAACGTATTTTTATCCTTGTTACTAATAAACTCTAAACCTAAAATTTTAGTTCAACTATGGAAGTTTGGCCATCGTTTTAAGTTATTATTAAGAAAATAGTTTGATTAATAATATATTATTGAGGTTAAACAAGACAGACTTCAATTCCATTGTTAAGCATAATTCAAAAACTACGGCTCAGAATTTGATCAAATTTATATAGGTCGATGCTCATTGCTGTAATATTAATTAATTAATTAATAAAAAAGAAGATTAAAGATATGAGGTAACACACTTAACCAAAATACAGTTAAATTGAGAAGCTCTTCATTTTTTAAACAGTTATAAAATTACAAGACAGTTATATATTGTTTACAATATGTATTAATTTGATATTTTTGAATGGATTATAATGGAATGCTCCCGCATGCACTAACGGTTTACGCTGGCGGGGCATTAGCAGAGGATGATAAGATGGCTTGAGATCTGGTCTGTTAGCCCATCCTGGTATATTCACCAAAAATTAATCACGATGGTTTTCCAGGGTTGTGTTATAATATTTTAATAAACATTTTAGTGTATTGTTACTATTCTTTTAGTCATAAATTATCTAATAAATGGGGGAAGGCGATTGTTGGTAATATGGACTAATGATTCCATTGCTAGCAATTTATCTATTGCTACAATGTTTTTTATGAATAATTTTGTAAATGTTGAAAGAATTCCTTGGCAAAGTAGTGCTAGTGTCGTATATTGAACATACTCATGTGCCACCAGTACCGTAATCAATAAAAAAATATATTAAGGCTCAAAATATTTACTTATTAAATTTGATTGGTGGATATTTCCAATAGGTATCAATGTTAATCGATATGTTGTTATGAATTCTCATAAAAATATGATAAGAAATCAAAACTTCGATATGTTTTGGTGGGTAGATAATGTTTCGATTACAAATCAGGCCGAAGTAAGAAATATGGTCAATAATGGACACTGATACAAACTTGTATGACTAATCTATACTAATATTATTAACACAAAAGTGTACCTGTTTGTCAGATTTTAAGAAATAAATGGCTGAACCAGTTTTAACGTAGTTAACAATAAGAATAACTCAGGACAATTTACAAAGCGATAAACAGTCCTAAACTAGACAGAACTTGTGTTATGGGTACTGAAATAAATACAAAGATATTTTTTTGCAAATACGTACTAAATATACGTAGAAAACACCCAGATAAATACAAATAAATTATAGTCATAAGTACAAATGTTTGTATCATGAGAGTAATCGAACCTGCGACCATCGGAAGTAAGGTGTGCTAAACCGCTATAACAGTGAGGACGTTAAATTTTACGTAAAGATAGCAGGCGGGTGGACAAGGCTACCTTTTATATAAAAGTATATGAAGTCATGGGTAGCATAGAATAATTTTGTAGCATTTGTGATTAAATTAACCATATTATATAAGAACATTATTTATGAATTTTTCAATTTAATTTCGAGACTATTCATTTTAAATTAGCTTGCAGTGTTTGTATCTCTTCAAATCTCAAGCCTCATATATACAGGACTAAAGGAGAGATGCTTGGCTGGCTACTCTAGTAGCCCTGGCTCTACGAGAGGCTAAATGCGGACATAGAGTCCAACATAAAATACTGAATTAAAGAAGTAACATTGATTTGCTTACCTCTAAACTGTGCTTCCCATTCTTTAACTGATTCCATTTCTATTGAATTGAGATCACTGAGATCATCATATCCTTTATCTGATGACGTCACAGAGAATGTGGCGAGTCCTCTTGAAGCATCCTTCCCTCCGAAAGCAGCATATGGACCGCCTATATAAAATAAAGCAGTCAATTTAATTTTTATTTATTGCTGAAAATGGTATAGTGAATTATATTAAATATTAATTAAAAAATATGGAAGAAAAGATTTGTTAGTAATTTATAAGTACTAATAAATAAACAATAATAAATCCTGTTGCTAGAAATATATCCATGTGACACTGCTCTGTATAGTGAATTTGCCATGATAAGCAAACTAACTTGATTCCTATCATTCCCCACTGGCCAGTTAAGAAAGGTGGGTGCACTAATCCCTATATTATTCCACTAAAAGTGCAAAACACTATAGTTATAGTGGTAAACAGAAAAATATATATTGTATTACTAATCTGTAAAATGGATTGGAAACTAAACTTGAACTGTTTTTGGTAATGGCTGATGATTGATGCATTATGGAATTAAGGCTGACAACAGCACACAAGTGCAATGTAGTACACTTATGTTTTTATGCATTTCTAAGATTCTACTTTCAGTGTAACATTACATATTATATTCTATGTCAAAATATAATATAATAAATCTATACATACATATAAATAAAATTGGATTGTCTGTTTGTAATATTGAAATAACCGTTTTGTACTACATGCATATGAATATAAATACAGTACATACACCAAAATAATATCTTTTACAAGTTTTGTCTGTCTGTCTGTCTGTCAGTCTGTTTGTTCCGGCTAATCTCTGAAATGGCTGGACCAATTTTGATGGGACTTTTATTGGCAGGTTGCTGATATAATAAGGAGTAACTTTGGCTACCTTTATTTAAGAAATAATCTTTTATTTTATAAAAAAAAGTTAAATATCCAAGCGGATGAAGTTGCATGTACAGCTAGTTTATCATAAAACCGTATGACTATATACCTTAAAGTTATTCAGGTTTTTACTTTGATATAAAGTATTTTAGATATATTTGATATACCTTACCCTACGTAATCTGTGCACAAAGCACAGAAATAGGAAATAGGAATATTCTCAATGACATTTAGTACTTATTTATAACTGGTAACTAGTCTATCTGCTATACGGTCAGATCCTTGACATTTGTATACAGCTCTGATAGATATATATCCTAGGCATGTACATATCACACATCTTGTACAATACTGGAGTAGCTAAAAAACTACTAAGTTTGGAAACTACTTTTATTATATTTTAGAATTTACATCAATTTGTTTAATTCTACTACAATTTGCATGTATGGGATCACAAATATTCAGTGCAGAAACTTAACCACAGTTACAGTCTTCTCTAATGGTAGACAAATTCCTGGTCCTTTTAACTGTTCAGCGACCAAACCACGACTGAAACAATAGTCTTTCAAACTATATCCAAACTCTATTCTATGCCTGACTAAAACATTCTTTTTGTTTATTTTTTCTTATATGAACAGGCTAAGTTTAGATATAGTTTTTGTAATAATGGTCTAACTAACTACAATAATAACTAACTAACCTACAAAATACTGTGTCCTAAGGCAGTCCGTGAAGGAAGGCAAATACAATCTCTAAAATTTTATGAAAACATATGACTCACCAGCGCCCAAGCTATTTATAAACATAGAATGCACTAATGCAAACTCACCGGGACCATAGAATCGCTTCCCTCGAGTTACATCAAATATCCATCCGTTAACTGCTACTAAAACCCTGCCATCAGGCTGAGTGCCGTCGTACTGCCTAAGTTCAGCCACAGTCATGTCCTTCCGGAGTTTGGGAAGTTCCACAGGAGCAATTTCCGTTGGCCCCTTAGTAAACTTGCGGTATGTTTTGTAAATCAAACCAAAAAAAATAACAATCAATAGCAAATTTATAGGAATATATATTAAAATGTTCTCATCAAAGAAACCATACGAAGTACTGGATATATCTTCCGCTTTGGTTTCAGATGCAGAAGACATTTTAGTGAAGATAACTTTTTATGTACTTTAAATAATCAAGACGGACAAGTTTACTAAATACGATTATTGGTAAATTTAATAATCACTAATGACGTCAGCTTTGTATATTTTTTGGAATCAAAGATAGCAAAGGAACTTGTTAAAACACAGAGTACTTTATTATGTGTTTACATTTTAGTACACAGAGTGAGATCAATGACTTCAGAAGTATAAATGCCAATCGTATGTCATAAAACTGTCAGATCCCAGGAATGTCTATTATGGATTACTACTTTTTATCGATATCACCAGCAAAATTAATATAAATTGCTTAACCAACTGAAAAATTAAGCTATACCATAAAGCAAAATATTCCTTCAAAAATAAGAACCTACATTTATCTAATTTAAAATGATGTCATATTTTCAGCAACAATAAATTGTTTCTTTTTATAGTAAACAATTCATTGTTCTCCATATAATTATCATCTCATGAGTAAGAATTTATACGGGGTATTAATAACATTAAAAATTAAATATATTAAATACAGTGACATAATCCGTGGCAAATTTATTGAATAGAGCTATATCTATAAATTAATTTTAGATGTTAATTTTTCGTTGCTTTTGCAATGTCTTTAAGTGTAGTAACTTTACATTACTCCATGGTGTTCCATATTTACTAAGCTATGCGAATTTAGTTTTATTTATTTATCGACTGAGATGTCGATATTTTGATAAAAATATAAATAAATATAGCGCATCCTTATTCCTAATTTAAACGTCAGTCAGAAATAAAATTTATCCAATTAAAAATTTATTATTAAATGTTTCAAAATGAAAAAATTGTTTAATACATTTCTTTGATACTATTTTATTGTTCATACATGTTGTATTTATATATATACATATAAATTCTTTTTATTTTATCTAGCTATAGCTTCTAAGCAAATGCCATGAAGGAGGCACAATCAGATTTATGTTCACGCTATCTAAGGATTTTTATCGTAGTTTCGTGTTATTGGTAAGTGTTCTGTCACGTTATAATGTGAATATTTCTAAATGATGTTTTTTAAAATATTACTTTCATTTAAATGCCACTTAAAATAAGAAACCGCACGTTACCCTGTTAAACCGCCGGAAATCGCCACCCGAATTTTCACCCCAAAGATCTAACGCCTATTTAACTATGGATAGTGTTTACTCTATTTTCCGTAGTAATATTAGAATTACGCTGTATTTCATTTTGCCCCTACCAAAAATGTGCATAATTTTACATTGTCATGAAAATGTATTTTTTAAAAACTTTAAAGAAATTTTTTAGATTTTAAAGAAACTCTTTTATTTTTATAATTTATATAACTAGAACTAACTATGCTGTATAGCATGGAATGCGGATAATTTTATAACAATTTTTATAATAATTTCTACCTGAATGAACATACTTATCTATGTGAAACACAATCAACCATACAACCACAAACAACCTTGGTGGTTTAGCAGTTTAGTACTTAAACGTAAAGTGGTCTTTACCTCCTATGGACACATATATGAGGAATTCAGCCCATAGTAGGCCCTAACCATTCTATGTTTTTTGTAAGTATAATTCTTTGTATTGGGCTGGGTGTTCTCTAAGTATATTATGTATGTATTTACAAAAAAAATGTATTTGAGCATTTCTAACAGTTGTCCAATATTCATAACATAAGCATTACTTACCTCGGACCAGATGATGCTATTTCAATTATTCAAGGAATATTATTATTGAATAAAAACAAAAAATACAGTAGAGTTGCCAGTTCTTCTGAATTGAATCTATATATTGAACTGGATGGTAGGAAACAAATGTAAACAATAAATTTGACATTAATATGTGCCTAAAAAAGGTCTTACATAGATAAATATATTTTTTTATTTGATTTGTATTATTATTCATATAACCACACATTTATTTGTTGTCACAAATAAATGTGTTGATATATGTTATTAATGTAATTGTTTTAGGATTGTATCAATTGCAACAGTCTTCGTTAATAAAACATTACTGAGTGGTCAGTCTGTGTCACTAGAGGCACCATTGTTTATCACATGGTTCCAGTGTATAGTATCATTTACAATATGTTACACCCTGAGCAACACTGGTGGTATTCCTGGACTGTTTAACTTTCCCAAAGGCACACCATGGAATATAGATGTAGTAAGAAAGGTATGTATGTATGGAAGGTACAATGTAATTATGGTAATTACAGAAGAGCATATAGTGTATTTACATAATTTAAAAAGCAGCATCACTACAGCATAGTATATTCATAAAACACACTAAGGATTATTTACTTATACATAAATTAGTAAAATAGTGACTATGAATATTGACAATAATAATTGTTTCATTACTTTTAGGATGATTTTTCTTATATGTTGACTTTAAAACCATATTCTGTGAAAAGTACATACTAATTTAATTAGCCAGTCATTTTTATATGAAATATTAAAACACAGTCAGGTTTTGTATCTCTACAATTTTGTGATTTTATTATATGTCTAATTATTTAATTATAAAATAACTTCATTATATTGTACTAGGGAACCAATTATGATGTTTTATTAGAGATTTTTTTTTTAATTTTCAGGTGATACCACTATCATTGATGTTCACACTGATGATAGCAACTAACAACTTGTGTCTTAAGTATGTAGGTGTCTCCTTCTATTACATAGGTAGATCACTCACCACAGTTTTCAATGTGCTATTTAGTTGGATATTACTTAGACAAGCCACCTCTTTAAGATGCATCCTTTGCTGTGCATTTATTATGTTTGGATTTTACCTAGGCGTGGACCAAGAAAGTTTATTAGGTATGTATTGCCAGAGTATTTAATATATAATATATCTTTACTGTCTCTATTCACATTGTAGAGTATTAACAAATTGCATTCTACACTGATGAAATAAAATTAATTGCAAATTATGGTCCATCAGAATTAGATTTACATAAAGTAATATAAATACATTATTACAATTAATTAGACATGGAGGTAACAATAGATAAACTTTTCGCTAAATAGCAATATCTTCTAAACAACCTTAGGATGATCATGGATCTTAGTGATATATTAGTTTAGCTCTTTAACTTACCTGCCAATGTTTTAAGGTTCAAATGCCACACAATGCAAACATTTGTGTATGCCGATTTTCTTTGTTTATTAAGTGTGTATATAAACAAGTTCTCATAGGTAGACTGTAAAAAGCCATCTGCATGGGTACCTCTTTCACCTATCATGTCAGTCTGACCTATTTCAGCCACCAAGCAACTTGCTTTGTAAGCTGTATTTTGGTTGTAGGATCCGATTAGGCAGTAAAATTACAGGATAACAGGCATGACATCTTAATTCTCTGAAATGGCATGCTATCATGGGTGTCATATGATAATGTGATGTCCATGGTGCTATTTAGTTATTATTAGTTTATGTATATAGGCGACAGTTACCACATTCTGTCAGGTGAACCATTACTTGTTTATCATTCTAATTACATAGGTTGTATTTTACAAAATCACATAATATTTTGACATATTTGTTATATTTTCAGGTTCATTTTCTCTTATTGGAACAATATATGGAGTTGTAGGATCTCTCATGTTATCACTTTATTCAATCTACACCAAGAAAGTACTTCCAAGTGTCAACCAAGAGGTGTGGTTATTATCGTACTATAACAATGCCTACTCTATTTTTCTTTTCTTACCTCTCATTGTTATGAATGGAGAGCTGGACATTTTATGGAATTACAAGAACTTTAATAGTGTATATTTTTGGATACAAATGGTGATAGGCGGACTATGTGGTTTCGCTATTGGTTATGTAACATCTTTGCAAATAAAGGTAAACACATTCATCACTTTTCACCCATACTGTTTTTTTATAGCAACTCATTAGATTACGACCAATAGGAGCGAAGCTGCAATGAAAATTTGTAAAGCGTTAAATTTGTAGCCTAGGTGTTACTCTGATATGTAAGTAATATTATAGTAAAGTTTCATTAAAATCCCTTCATCAGTTTTACGTGAAAAAGTAACAAACATATAATCATCTGCACTTATAAACTTCCGAGTTTATAATATTAGTAAGATTTTGTTACATATGTAAATTAAATAAAGAGTATATTAAATATATAACATTAAAAATAATGAAATATTCATATAACTTGCAGGTGACGTCTCCATTAACCCACAATATATCAGGGACAGCAAAAGCCTGTGCTCAAACAGTAATAGCCACACAGTGGTACAGTGAAACTAAAAATGATCTTTGGTGGTCTTCAAATGTCATAGTGCTGGCCAGCAGTGCACTGTACGCTAGATTTAAACAGATAGAAATGGAGGTCAACTCTAGGAAGCCAGTGCCGGAAGAGAAGAAAAGTTTAGTATGATCATGATCGCTCATAGATATAGGAACGTAATTGCATTTGTAAATATATTTTTTTATTTAACTGCCAAAGAAAGGCGATTGTTTGTCTGTAAATATGAAAGGAAATGTGTTATCAATAATATTTCTAATATTCTAAATTAGAAATATATAATTATAATGTATCTATTATAATCATTTTATATTTTTGTATATATCAATTACATATTACAAGACATTTATATTTACCTAATTATCACAGGTATTTACTTGTGATCTCAGTATTGTTGATAAATACTTCACAATCTTTTTATAATTGGGCTCAAAATATACATTGTTTGATTCCTCCGGATCAAGGCTGTGATCGTATAGCTCTAAGCCGTAAACTTTGTTCCAATTCCTTGTAAATAATGTATTATTAAAAGATACCCATTCTGTGTATCTGAATCGCCTTGTTTTAATACTATAACCCATTATTTTGATGTCTTTTAAACAAGGTTTGTCTGAGTTTGATTTAGAGCGCACACCAGGGCGTGGGTATTGACTGAGAGCAAATGATTTTCGCTTTGGACTGTTATGAAATCTATCCGAATCCATTTGTGGTACTAAACTGCTTCCTTCAAAACACAGCGGTCTTTTATCATGACAGGTACAGGTTGGTATGTTGTCAGATAATCCGCTAAGTTCCAATAATGTTGGAAATATGTCAATTAGTTCAACTGGAGTTTTTATTGATTTGTGAGACATTCCCGGGATGTTGAATATTAACGGCACTTTTAGTGCGACGTCAAAATTACTGTATTTCGCCCATAAACCATTTTCTCCTAATGACCAACCTGTAAATAATAAGTGTGGTAATAAGTGTTTTGTACTGCAAATAAGGTTAATATAATATATTTCATTCTTAGATATTGTAGTTAAAAATTGTATAACTTTCTATATTAATATAAATATGGATCTAATATATATCTTTGGTCCTTTGAGCTGGATACTAACTACCCATAGATATTATAAAATATACTGGCTGTTACCCTGCAACTTCGTCTGCTTGGAATTTACCATTTATTATATTAAAATAAATAAATGTTCTAAAATAAAAGTAGCCTAGGTTACTTCTTATAACAATAGCTATCTGTGAGTGAAAGTCCCGTTAAAATCGATGCAACTGTTTGAAAGATTTGCAAGAACAAACAGACATTTTTAAAAAATATATTTTTTTGATATAAGTATCAAATATTCATTCATATCCATTAAGGAAAACAAAGAAACACTTCCAGTTTATTTGTTTGTACAGATAATATACCTCCGAAATAGCTCAACCTCACCGTGATCACCCGTTAAAACTACGATTGTGTTATTCTTGTTAATGACAGCCATTAATTCTCCAATTAAGTCGTCAACATACGTGGCCGCAGCATAATAACTTTGTCTTATTTTTAAAGTCCATTCTGGAGGCATGGTGCCATATGGGAATGATATGTTTAGACGTTTAATGTCGTCCCTGTGCCGTACATCTGTCCACGGGTGCCAGGCGACCGATGGAGTTCCTGTTGGCTTATTGGGCTGTAGTGGTGGGTGTACTGTCTCTATCGGAACTCTTTCTGGAACAGAAGAAGAACAGTACGTGCTAATCTTCGACTTTGATGTCGCAAGGGAACGTTTTACTATAATGAGCCATATACCTATAGAGTTTTTTAATGCACGATAATGGAATGGTGCATCTGCCTGTGCTAACAGTTTACATTGGCTGAGCACTAGTGGAGGATGATAAGATGAACATGAGGTCAAGTCAATTAGCCGTGAAAAATTCATTAGGAATTTATAACTTGAGGTCAAACTGACATAGTACATTGGCGAGCATTATTTATTCGAACATGGTATATGTACAATCTGACTTGAAAGGCGCAATGCAATGTTTTGCTTAAATGAGCAATATGTAGGGTTAGTCGTACAGGGTATACAAAGCGTAAAGTAAGGTAAGAATATGCATGTAACTGAACCATTTTCATAAATAATATAATAGGGAACCTGAATTGTGAATAGTTCGCTCCTGGAAACCATAGTGGTTAATTCCTATTGAAATTGGTCATGATGCTACGACAGCTTTTACCGTTAGAACAGGCGAGTGCATTGTGATCACTTAATAATAAATATGATATTATATACCTATAGATACTTCAAAATAAACTTACCTAGATATTTTTCAGGGAATTTTAATGGTATGTGAGGCTTATGGAAACCAATTGCCATTAGAAATGGTATGCTGGTATTTCGCTCATTGATAACCTTAGTTGCATATTTCAGCGATTCTAAATCAGGTAACGATTTCCCGGGTTGAGTGTTTATATTGACAGGGCACACTAAATTCTTTTGATATCTCAAAGTTTCTCTGTCTTTACACACCGCCGCATCTTTATATACTTCAGTGGGGGGATGGTATGGTACATTCGACCAGCTTAGAGGGTAATCATCAGTGAAGTTTGAACTCGCACCCGGATGGAAGACCTTACCAACGGAATATGTTTCGAAGCCGTTTTCTTTATAAAATTGTGGTATGGTGGTGAAATTACCGACTTCAGTTCGCCAGTAATTATAAAAATCATAAAGATGCAGTGAATCAGGTCGACGTCCAGTTAGTAATGAATTACGGCTTGGTGCACATAACGCTTGCTTTATAGGTGATAAAAAAACATACTATATAAAAACATATTAGTATAAAATAGTACTTATAATTACTATTATAAAATTCATTATACTGTACCTGAGCACATGCATTTTCAAAATTTACCCCATTTGCCGCTAATTTGGCAATGTTAGGCAAATAAACATCCTTGTCCGATAGATGGCGTAGATCGTCGATTAAAATTATCAAAACATTATGTCTATGGCTATTTACAAGTTTTACGATTGTAGAAAAAAAAATTAGATTCCCAAAATATATAACAACATTAAATTTTAACATTGTTGCATTAACAATACAATGTAAGATACAACGTGTATTGCTTGGTTCCCGCTCTTTTTGTGTGTCTGTCTGTGTGATTAATTTCGAAATATATTATTATTATATAGTATGTTAGTAGTTATTGTTTTATTTTACTTTCTACCAAATAATTCCCTAAAATATTAACCCTAACGGTGGGTCAATATATATATCTATAGTCCATTAACTTTAAACGATAATTATCTGTGTATTTAATTGTGATACAGTGCACGAAAACAATCAAGAGGGAGAACCAAAGAGTATAATAAAACACCGAAGGGAGAAAACTATTTACAACATAACAAAAGTGAAACTATTGAAACGTTTGCGCAGTCCTGCGCAGAGTAATAAAGTCTTGCCATATTAGTGGAATGAATAAAGAAACAGCTGTAAAGAGCTTTACATTATCAAATAATGTAGGAGTGCTCTTCACTCCTATATAGTATGTCAGACAGTCTGCATTTGGAGTCATAAATACGGGATTGAAACGAAATTAAACTTTCTATAGTGTACACTGATGGATAAGGGATACATCAATATACCTAGATATCTCGGCGTCTGCATGCACAAATTTTATTTTCGTTATATTCAATATTATAAAAAACTTTTAATCAACCTTAACAATATCTTTTCATTTTAACAAAATAATTCCAAGTTTCATAAAATGATACCTTTTCAAAAAACTTACGTACAATAATAAGTAGTACGTGGAACGGAACGTTTCAAGACCACTTGGTCAAAGATTAAATTAAATTCAGAATGTAAAGAAGGTATTCTATATATGATTCCAATTTTGTACTTTCCTTACTGCATTAATACGAATAATTTAGTCTTTAAATATTATATTATGGGTATATAAATTTTGAAAGACAGGTTTTGTTATAGTGTTACAGCGACGAACATACAATTTGTTTTACGCTATTTGTTTAATTATATACAGTTTTAGTGTTCTCTAGCGTGACTTCTATATATTTCACAATAAAATAACAGATCTATATATACGCACTCCCAAAAAAATGCGTAATAGTAGTATTTGTATACCTATATATGTATATATACATAACTAAATTCGCACGTATGGGTCCTAATACGGTAAAAAATAGTCTAATAATGACTTGTTATATGGAGTAATAATTGAAATATAAAATTTATGAATAGGTCTATACAATGAAAGTGCTCTAAATTTTACTATTTGTTACACTGTAGCAATATTTGATGTAACAATAATAAATAATGGTCCTATAGTTTTATAAAAAAGACAGTTAGGTAACTACCTAATAAGGCTGTCTTTTCAATTTGTAATCTTTTAAATTGTGTTTTTCCACACTCCTTTACTACTGTCGATGTGTGCGTCGATTGCATTGTTTATGTTTACTGTGTATAGAGATAACGTAACGCACACAGAAAATGAACAAGTGAGCGTCCAGTATTGTCATTCAAATCATCTGTTTCGTGAATTCGTGTATATTTTGTATATAAATTTAATTTATTTTCAATCTATTTAATAATGAGCATTCATCACTAATACTGTAAATTGAGAGTGTGTGAGAAATATGTTTGATTAGGGTTTATATTTTAATTTGTGTGACGTCATTGTTTCGCTGCCAGTAATAACGACGCAGTTGCATTTTTACTTGAAAATGGACTTAAAATGAGGATTATTCTCATAAACAAGGTGAGTATGAAAGGTAATGTGTAAATTATAATATAGTTAGCGTAGAAAGAGTCATTGGAAGGTTTCCTTGGGTATAAAACGATGGTAGAATTTGAATCGATTTCCTTTGTCCTCGGTCCCCTTGTATTGCTAGAAAACGTAGGTACCTACTTGTGTACATTGGCCAGCTGTTTCATAATAACAAAATATTTTGTTGGAAGTTTCATGTGTTCAAACATATTATTATGGAACTTTCGATGCGTAAATAACATTGTTTTTGTTAATTATGTAATCAATAATATCATTGTGTACGGAATAGTAATTTCAAGTAGCTTATTTTTTTATTCTGAAAATAACGCGCGGGTAATGTTTTTATGACTCCATTTAGCTTTCTATATCTCTTGGTCAGGGTTACTACTTTAAATTTGCATAATGATATCTTAATTTGTTCATGGTGATTCATTGTTTATTAACAGTTTTGTTCAAACCTTGATCTTTTGTTTATTGATGTCCTAGAGGTACTGTAATAAATATTATACCAAATATGACATCAATAATGTAAATTATATTTAAAAAAGAACAAACTTATCATGATTGGATTGGTCAATTTACTTTGTTAATAATATAATCAAACATCGAATAATTTAAAGTCATGAAGATTGTAACAGAACCTAACAATAAATTTCTGCCTATGAGTACATAGTAAACAAAGAATTTATTATTTAAATATCAATTTTCATTTATTGCAATATAATAAAATTTTAAATATATAAGTATTTAGGGTAATACAATTACTATTTCTTATGTCTAGTCCACAGTGATAAAGTTTAACATAAGAAATAAAATTATCCATATTAATAAATTTACAGTCTGTCTGGCAGTCTGATTGTCTTATTTGATAACTACTCTCTTATTCTGTGAATTATCAGCTTATTTAGATTTTATTGACACTGGCAGATATTCTAAGCATTAACCACAATAGTTTCCAAGAGTGACTATATCGAGATTGACCTGACATAGTACATCATTAAAATAAGATGCATCTGGCTGTTTAGTTTTCAAAAAGTAATCAACATATAAATAGACATACCTTTCTTCTGATATATTTCTATTAGTAGTATGGATAAGAATTCCATTGGTGTAAATAAGTCATACATATTACTCTCATCATGTAACTATCTTTATTATTATCATTTATTTTTTAAGGGCCTCTTTGGTCTAGTGATCTAGCACCACCTTCCTTCATATGGTTGTGGTTTCAATTCCTCATATGGTATAAACATTTGTATTCATGAGTATGAATGTTGGTGTCACCCTGGGTGTATCTGTATTGGTGTCTATGTATATTATTTATGTATTTGAACAAATATATATAAGTTTTTGCATCAGTTATTTAGTACCCATAACATAAGCTTTGCTTAACTTGGAATAAAACAGCGCTGTGTGAATGGACTATTTTTTATTAGACATTATTTGCACTCAATTTAAAATTGCAAGCTTGATCAATAATTGTTGCTCACAATTTACAGGCGACATTAGGACATAATGTCAGCGGAGTCGCCGCGTCATGTGCGCTCTGGCGGGCCCCTTACGGTGCCATCGCAGCCGCCGAGCGACCGCAGCATCATTGATACCGTCTCCGGGTTCATCAATGACGTCACACTCTCTTCTTCATCGGCTGTCGACCCCAAGGATGTCATCCAATGGGCGAGGTATGTGTTTGTTACATTTTTCAAAGCCTCAAGGTTTAGCCTTAATAATATTGGATACTGTGAAAAAGGGCACTGACTTTTTATATCTATTAAATTCATTCATATTTAAGAGCCACACTTTTCGGTGGAGCTTTTACCACTTCCCAGAATCTTCCAACATCCTCTTTAAATGTTGATACAACACAACACCCATTTTATTTTTAATTTTCTTGAAGTAACTGGGCCTTGGTCTTTCCCTCCCTAAATTCATTGTATATTTATACTTAAAATTATAACTAAAATACAATAAAAGTTAAACAAGATATTCATGTCTATCAAAATATATTCATTTCAAATAGTTAACATGTAAAAGTCAGAATTAATTTAATGTAGATCTAAATTTAAGCCATTTTCTCATTGCAATCATTGTAACTTATATGATATTTTTTATTATATTATTATTCTATTATTGAATAATAAAGAACTTAATTTGGTTGTAGATTCGAGACAGCCGACATAAATGAACCTACACCGGAAGGGGACGGCGACAATGACATATCTCCCTTGTTGCTTATCCTGGGCTATGGGTCTGGGGTCCAAGTGTGGCTGATCTCGCCCAGCGGCGAGGCCCAGGAGGTGTTATCATGGAGACAAGGCACAGTTAGGGTGCTCCGTATACTGCCTACACCGCAGCACGGCGACTGCTTCGCATCGAAGAGGCCCCTTATCGCTTTGTGTGACTCTGCAAGCCCTGGACCAACTTTCTGCTCGCTCAGTTTTATATCCATTAGGGGAGGTGAACAGGTAAGTTTATGATGTAATTCTAGTACATATATTAATATTCAATCTAGAATAATTTTATGTACCTTTTAAACTGTTCAAGAATTTCTCAATTTGAGTTCAGTTTTCTCATAATAAAATGGCTACATATTATTATGAGAAAACTGTAATGGCTAGTGTATATTTGTTTTAAAAACATTTTGAAGTCATACTTAGTCATGATTGCCCAAAGCATGTGCTTTTTGGCTGCCTGCTATTGATTGACCAAATTAAAAATAAGCCTATGTCCCAAGTGCTTTGTTACACAAAACAAACAAAAAAAAGTACTTTTGCATTTATTATATTAGGATTTAAAAATCTATTAATATTATATCCTTTCTTGATATCTGAATCTATATTTTCTATCATAGAGAAATCTGTAAATTGATTTTATAGATAAACATTCATATTGATGATATTGATATTTAATAATTTTATTGTTGATACAAAAGCTAACACTGTTTTGTTTGTTATTATTATTATTTATATATACAATTTTATATAATTATATAAAATAGAACTCATCCTTCTTTCTACTAGAAAGTAGTAGATCAATTATAGACCCAGTTGGGCACAGCAAGCGGAAGCTGTGCTCAACTGGGTCTATAATTGATCTACTTTGAATAATACCTGGCTACTAACTGCTTTCTGTAAAATTATGCAATGCAAAGTTTAAATAAATCAATGTATTTATTTAAACTTTGCATTGCATAATTTTTATAGAAGTCTCCTCAGAGATAAAAATTAAAAAAAAATGCATCACTTTGATCGTACTATAATAGCAGGTATAAGAAGAATCACAATACACTATTTGTCAGATTTGAACAATATTTATTTAAAAGAGCAACACTCAATTTCTCTATATGAATAAATATTATTTCTATTTCATAAATAATAGGTAAACCCATTCTTATCACCTATTGTTCGACAGGTGAAGAGCATAAAGTTCAAGAATCCCATACTCGACGTACTAGCGAATAAGCGCTCCGTGGTGGTATCTTTCTCTGAGCGCTTTGCTGTCTTCGACGCGGCGACGTTAGAAGACAGAATGACAGTCACCACATGTTACCCTTGCCCATGCCCCCTTGGCGGGACTGCGCCTATCAACCCACTGGCGCTTGGAGAACGCTGGCTGGCTTATGCTGACAAAAAGCTGAACCAGTCAAAAAGGAGCAGTGGAGGATGTGAAGGTAAGAATTTGTATATGGGTTATAATGCTCCACATAAATAATCAGCATAAAACATAATATACAACACATAGTTTTTTCGAGATTGTACAATAACATATTCAAAATTTGCCCATATAATTTATCGACAAATTTTAAATATATTACCGTAATGGCAATTAAACACTTGCCAATAATATTACTACCTGGACATATTATCATAATCTTAAATGTTCTTCAAATAAAAGTTAAATTTCATATCGTCTGCATGGGCACTTCTATCTCACTTATGTTGCCCACCAAGGAGCTTGTTTTTTAAGCTGGTTTGATTTAAGGATGAGATTTGGGACTAAAATTACATACGGAATCCTGATATCTTAGTCCTTTGAAATGGTAATGAATGAGGGATACCACGACCGTCACATGACGCCGTAATGTTGCTATTTACTAAGTACATAAAAAACAGGTTTGCAATAAAATCTATTATATTATACTCATCTGCTTTTGAAGCCTGCTATTAAATTCTGCCTTGGACAGAAAATCAGTATATCTGTAGGACTGATTTAATGTCTTCTTAACATGAAGAGTGTGGAATACAGGCCACTTATTTAGTTTGTTCTAAATTGTCACTTCTTTCAATGGTTCCTTTCGGTTCCCCTTCCTGACCCTAGTTAGTAGTGTTTCTTTATATAATATATACATCTTACGATAATTCCCTGGTTTCCTTTATCAGTAAAACCTACATAGGTTTTCCGAAAGAGACAAATCTTTTGTGTATTCTGTACCGTATGTGAGACTGAAAACTTTTCTTCTACGTTTTGCCAAAATGTTTGCAAATATAAAAATACCTAAAGTAACAAATTTTATTTTATTACGTAGTATTAAAACAAAGAAAAAATTATTTGGTAATTATGCACCTGAATGGATAATTATAATAAATTGGGCTTGTGTGAATGATTAATACATTTATTAATAAATATAATAAATATAATACTATTTGTATATCGAACGCAAGTATTTCTTATAAGTTAGGTAGCGTATTAATTATTACCTCATTAGAAATAATCACTTTGTTATGATAAGATATAACTTCTATTATTGTTTTTATCGTATAGTAGTTTTTTATTGTTCAAATAAAGTCGCAGCGTGCGTATTGATTATTCAAAGAAATCATTTCTAATATACAAAGGCTGTTTCGAATGTTCTTAGGTTATTAGACTTAAGCGTAATATAAAACATGTTTTTAATTATAAATAGTCACAGTTCTTTACTGAGAGATATGGCACAATATACAAATATTGTAGATACATTTGCTCTCTTTAATGTACGAAAAAAATAAAACAGTGATGAATAAGTAACAGATTTTGTGCAAATAGTTACAAAAATCTACCCACAAAGATAAGAACGGCCGACAGCATTAGAATTGTCGATATTGAGCATCTTTTTTTAAGGGTGATAATGGAATGATGTATCTACGCTAATGGTTTACGCTGGGACCAATGGACTATGATAAAATGATCATTAAGTCAACTCAGTTAGTCAATCTTTGCAAATGGTAATTTACCACGATGGTTTTCAGAGGGAACCGCGTCGATGTCAACCTGACATAGTACATTTCTAGCAATGGGATTATTAGTCCACATCAGATGCCCCCAAAAATATAGCGCATCTTTACTAAGATTTTTAGTTCTTCGCTAGTACTGGAGATGTACTAGTGAAGGGTGATATTATGAGGATGTAGTTAGGTTAATTAGCCTATCGTAGAGAATTAACCATGATGGTGATTACATTTTGAACATGGACCTAATATAGCACGTTGGTCGCAATGAGTCCATTTATCTCCATAGCTAACAGTCACTCCCATTTTAAATTAACTAATGAGCTATTTGGGTTACATGCTCGAGTAAACAAACCATAATTTATTTTGTTATTATCACAGTCCGAGTATTGACTTATCTACTCCTTTGACCTTAGACTGAGTGTACGTTACTGTTTTGCACAATAACTTTTATCTATGACTTGGTACGTGTCTATTTGTGTGTAATTTATTTGATGAAACTAGGGCTGTATTAAGTATATTTTTATGAGCGGGTTGGAGAAGGCGGAGATGGAATAAATTGGAGTATGTTCCTAGGATCTTAGAATTACCCTAATTGTTTTTTGTTTAATTTTTTTAATCTTTTTGTTTAATTTGCGTAGTAATAATATTAATTAGTATATTATGTTCAATATTAATTCCTGATAAAAAAGTATGTTCTACAAAATATACAAATTTATTAATGTGTATGATTTATTAGATTTCATTTTTTATTTTAGATCTTTTCATTCGAAATAAACCCATACAAAGCATATTTAGTAACTAATCTTAGAATATTTTTTCCTTGACATAACAGCAAATTAACTAGAATATATAAATAGCTATTGTACTTATATAAATAACTTCATCTGTCTCAAACTCATTTCGCCAAAGAAATGTTCTAAAACATGTATAAAATGTGCCATGTATAGGAGAACAATTTTTGAGACCCTACAGTAAAGTTGTGACTCAGAATGTCATAATATTTTTATTATGAAAGTAACTACGCATATCTAGGCTTCGGCTTCAATACTACACATAATTGCGGCGTAGTAAATTATAAGGTACTATTGTTGCATATTACGTAGCACCTGTTGCTTGAAAACAAATGCATTGTTTATTGTATTTAACCTCTATGGATTTGGTTTTTAAGATTAAAATGAATTGACTAAGTCTGGAAGTTCTGAATGAAATAATAAACCAAAACAATATGTATCTTTATGTGGATGATATTTCTTTGTTTGTGTCATTCGCAAATACTTTGATTCTAAGTTTGTATGTACTATAAACAAAGTATCTCAGCTTACTTGTTTTGTTTTGATCTTTATATATTGTGTCTCTTGATATGTGATTGATATCAGAATTGCCAATTCTGTCAAAAATCTCCATATTAAATACAAAGAATGTATTTTTAAAATAGGTGTTTTTGTACTAGAATAAATAAATAATAAAACATGAATAAATAGTAAAACACTTGTGTATTATATATTGTGTCTGAAATAAAACGTCTTAAATCATAACTATATTAGTATCATATCTACAAAAATAATTATAAAACTCTGAAAAATAGTTAAAAATTCTGAATTAATGAATGCAAAATGAAATAATGTTTATTACCACGGAATTAAACTTAGAAACCAATATAATGTCTTTATTTGGAAAACTTGGATATAATTTCATTGGAAAGGTTATTTCGAAGTCATTCTATAAAAATTCTGAAAAAATATTCTTGGGCCAAGGGAGTGGTTTATCGTGGAAGTCTACCACCGCCACACCCAGACACACAATTTATATGTAATTGTATATTCTTTTATTTTTTATGTTTTTTTTTGACTACTCTAACGCTGTTAGCCGCAGCTGGCTTTCTATTCTATTCTATTCTGAACCTCGGCTCAGGCCGTCGTATATTTCGATTCTCTTTTGAATTGGACGGGGAATCGATCGATTTAAATCCTTAGGGGAGAGGATTATATAAATCCTCTTCCTTCCTATTAAATTTTGTGTGTATATTCAGGAAATCTAAGAATAAGATATAAGCTACTTTTCAATTTCTCAACAATATTCAGTTGTTTGCAGTAAAACTGTATTTTTAAGTAGTGGCGACATGTATGTAAAGCTGTATGCTTCGTCAGGTGAAGGCGTAACGAGCTACACCGCGACGGTGCTGCATGCGGCCAAGTCGCTGAGCAAGGGTCTTCGTGGACTGGGCGAGAGCGTGGCCCACAGCCTGGCCGGCGGGCGCACCGCCTCGCAGTCGCCGTCGCCGCCGCACGCCGACCTGCAGCAGCCCGGCGTCGTCACCATCCTCGACATCGAGGTACCCACCGACCATCAATAGTTGCCTTTACATGACACATTCTTTCACGTGCGATTAGGAGCTTGCTGGATTAGTGCGTGAAAGCCAGGATTTTGTGATCACACTTTCGCGCGTACGCTGAAGTGAAGTATACGCTGTAGCACTAGTAGAGGATGATTGGGTGAGCATGGAGTCAGTTCAGTAAGGTCAGTTAGCCCATCGTGATAAATTTACCAGGAATTTATCATGATTGTTTCCAGGTGGAACCGAGTGAAGGTTAATCTGACGTGGTACATTGCTAGCTAAGGTCACTAGTTCACATTACTAACAATCTCCTGGCCCCTTATCAATGATATTTATGCTTCTGAATGCAAGATTCGTCTGGTTACTTAAAATCATTATTTGTGAACAGAGTAACGAAGAAGATGACGGTCAAGACATAGAGGAGCAGTACGATCCGCTCGTGGCGCACTTCATAGCGCACTCCGAAGCGATCATCGCCCTGAAGTTCGACGCGAGCGGCATGCTGCTGGTGACGGCGGACCGGCGCGGGCACGACTTCCACGTGTTCAGGATCAACCCGCACCCGTGTGGGCCCAACCTCGCATCTGTACACCACCTGTATATACTGCACAGGGGTGATACTACGGCTAAAGTGCAGGTACTCCTTGGCAAATAGCCGTCTTACACATATCTTATATCTGGTTTCTATTTAGAATTCCATTAAATTTATGTAATTGTTGTTTTTCTTTGAAGATACTTATTATTCCATGTTCGTATAATTTCAACAGATTAAAGGATGTCCTTACTGTCCAATACTTCAGTATATCGTGACAAAAGGAGAAAACTTTAATTATAAGCTTACATTTCGGGTCGGCAACGCGCACGTGACACCCCTAGCGTTACAGGCGTTCATAGGCTACGGTTATCGTTTATTATCAGACCGCTTAATACGGACCGTGTCCTGGTTTGCTGACGTTGTAGTAGTAGTGCTTAAAAAACCTTAATATAAAAGAGCAACATAACAAGTTTCTTGCTCATTCTTCTTGTGACGAGACACTGTTCCGATTGAGCGATAGATTAAAAAAAATGCCATGACTATTCAAAAGTGGTTCAATGTAAGTTTATTTGAATAAATGATTTTCTATTCTATTCTACACTCTTCATGAAAAAGCCCATACTGTAGTCTCGCGAGGAAATTTCATTCCACAATCAAAACATACTCAGTTACAAACAATTCCCTACCATCAATGAGTTGGCGTATGACTGTATTATAAAGCTGTGACCGACCGTCGACAGGACATCGCGATATCGTGGGACGCGCGATGGGCGGCGGTGTCGACGCTGCGCGGCACCACGCACGTGTTCGCGCTGAGCCCGTACGGCGGCGCGGCGGGCGTGCGCACGCACACGCAGCCGCGGCTCGTCAACCGGCTGTCGCGCTTCCACCGCTCCGCCGGCCTGCCCATACACGCCGCCGCCGCGCGCGCCCACCGCCCGCCGCCGCCCACCACCAGCCCGGTACCACACACACACACACACACACACATATTATACCTTCCTATCATACAATTATTTGACGCACTAGTAATAATCTTAAACGTACTATCTACATATATAACAATCTACAACAGGGATGATCAACACGCGGCCCGCATGCTCCTTGCCACCCTGTAAACATTGCGGTCGGCCAAACTTTTTTTTACTTTCTTCCATCAATATATTGTTATTAAATTAATTATAATAAAATGGTTGTTCTTGGTCAACATATACAGCATAATACATAACAGTTCGGTTCTTTTGTTAAAAGACAAAACGACAAAACTTCTTTATATAAAACACACAACTGATTGAAAAAGCTGAAACAGAAGTCTTTTCAGAGATGAGTTTTGAATAAAGTAAATTTTTGAACATCGCATTTTTCATGATAAGACCTAACGTCGATGAATCAATCGATAAACGTTAAACATTACTAGTTGGTTATGTGTAATAATACTCTTTAATCTTCAAAAATTATACTAATAATACAGATTATTGTATATTACTTGTGTTGCAATTTTAAAAGTTGTAGTATAAAACTTTAATATTGGCTTAGTTTTATGTGGTGAATCCTTAGTAATGGTGTGTGTTGTGCACAGGTGACGTCATCGTCACAGGGCTCGTGGTTCCCGAACCCGCGGCTGCCGCCGTACCCGATGCCCACGTGGGCGGCGCCGCTCGCTCAGTTGCGGCCCACTAATCTGCCCACGCACACCATCACCCGCACCAGCTCAGGTCGGTACACACCCTAACGTCACGTGATAGATTGATCACATCGATACGGTTACTGTTACTGACTAAAAACCCAAATTCCTGTAATACATAGGAAATATCCCAGGCAACATAATAAAAAAACAATAAAAGTAGCCAAGGGAGCCATATTCCGACTATGGACTGATTTTGACGGGATTTTTGGCAGATAGCTGATGTAATAAGGAATAACTTAGGCTAGTTTTAGGCTGTTGTTTTAGAAAAATAAAGTTAAATTCCATGCGGACGAAGTCGTGGGAACAGCTAGTAATATCTAAATACATTTAAAATTCTTCAAACGCAGACGTGCGATAGATCTGTTGGCTAGTGCAAACTGGTTTATTCCGGTTTTAATGACTGTCTCTAGTATATCACTATTAGTGTAAGGTGATTTGTTGGACACACAACATGGTCAATACATACCAATACAGACCCACGCACAAGATTCTGCACTGATTGTTGAACTCACATTATATTGTTTGTTGGAATCTGTTTCCGCAATGAGAATCTCGCACATAATATTTTTTTCTTTAATTACTTTTTTATTTTTGTTAGTTGTATGTGTTATCGAATCTCATCTTAATCTTAATAATATTATAAACGCGAAAGTTTGTCAGTATAGATGTCTGTTACTCTTTCACGCAAAAACTACTGAACTTGATTGTGTTGAAACTTTACAGTAATATAGTTAGAATAACATTGGCTAAAATATCAAGAGGACGAAGCCGCGGGCACAGCAAGTATGATATAATGATAAACATTGAAAGATTATTTTATGTACAAAATGATAATGAAATAATGAAAATTATGATATTCTTCATTATCTAAGCTGACATTAATTAATATAGAAAGAAAAAGATTTTGTTGCATGTCAAATAGACTGAATGTCAGGACGACCATTAAGTAGATCACCGTCTGTATAATTACTACATTCATTGCAATAAATAATGTAATTTAATTTTATAATAAACATATTTTCTTTCTTACTTTAGGCACCGGCATTATATTTCGATATATATAACAAATATTTCCTTGACGTGAAATTTTTTTAACTTGTTAGGTCGGCAACGACTGTCGTCTCTATCTGAGGATAGCAACACCGCGCCGTTACTGGCGCGCGCTCGCTTTGGTATGTGCATAAGCGGCAGCGGTAGCGTAAGCGGGAGCGGACGCACGCCTGCGCCCGTCGCAGCCCTCTACCTTATGGCCGCTAATGGATCTCTTTTGCATCTTTTGTTGCACCCCCGCGCGGCCTCGAGTGAGTTTTATTATATTAAATATTTAATTTAGACTTAGTCCAGTTGAGCTTGAACGGAAAATTTAAGATTAGTTGTTATGTACTCATTGGCAAAAGTAAATAAGTTAATTGTGATTTTGAGCCTAGTCGCATATTGAAAAGAACAGGACTTCTGGAATTCCCTATGCAAATTATTTTGTGGTTCAAAGTTATTTAATTTAACCTCTATATTTCAAGAATATCCATGTGAGCTGAAGTGACAACAATGACTTATTGTTCGTTTATTATCCTGGACATTTTGTAAAAGTTCTAGCATTGTGTCTCTATAGCCATGTGAAAATAGTGAAATGAGTGGTCTGTACAGATATTCCAAAGGAGAAGATCTGCGATGATTCGCCTATCGAGCTGGAGGTGGAACCGGTGGCACAATGGCCGCTACAGCGTCCGACCGCCGCTGCCGACCTTCTGGCGCCTCTGCCGCCTTCCAACCCGCTGCTGCAACCGCATATCTACAGGGTGAGTATTCCATCCAACCAACTGACTGACAAATACCATGTCAATTCATATACATGTCATGATGACAATGGCAGAGTTGCCGTCTAACCCATTGCTACCATTTGACCAGACAGTGCTTCCCTGATATTCTCTATACACCTTTACTATGGCCTGTTATTTGGAATGTGGATGGGGTGAGTAATTTAACTGCTCTGGGCTATAGCTGCGGTACTATTGCTGCTTGATTATATCATTACCTGACCATTCTTGTAGGATTAATGAAAAAGAGTATATTGTCTGTTAGGAAAACTTATTATTTTAAAAAGGTATGTAAATAGTATCTAAATGTGATTTGGCAGAGATGTGCTGATATATGCATGAGCGAAGAAGAACGATGGTTGTCGCAAGTGGAGATCGTCACCCATGCCGGCCCTCACCGGCGATTATGGATGGGGCCACAGTTCGTTTTCAAAACTTACAGCTGCACTGGGTAAGTGATTCAACATTGCTCACTTGCAACATTTTATATGTAAATATGATGTACATGTTCCCTTTTGCCGGCAGGTCAAACTCATCGCTATCAGAGGCGGAGACTGTAGAGGTGGAGACTAGTGCTGCGAGTGTGGCTAGATCCAATCCTGTCAACATGCCCGGTGTACGGCCGCTCGTGCCGGTTCTTGTCGACTCCGGGTCAGCCAGTACGTATTGTATACTATACTCAGCTACTGTTTATGGTCTGTCAGTCTTATCACATATGGTGCAGACTTCACCAACCCAGAGGACAAGTCAGGCATGTAATACATATAGTCATAGATTTTTTTCATTACAGAGAATGCACAATTTCATTTGTACGGATTTTTCCAAGGCTTTTAATAAAGTATAGCAGGATATTCTTGACTAGTAAACTATTGTAAATATACTATATTAAACTTCATTCTAAATTACAATGGTTGGTATAGACACATATGAGACCACACCTAATATTATTTTTATATTTATGCTTTTCTCTTGTTTATAGATATGTATGTTTTTGTACAGGTTCACTAGAACAGTCGCCCCTAGAGGGCGCCCGCCGCAAGTCGCTGGTGAGCGAGAGCCGCAGCGGCGCCGGCAGCGCGGGCGCGCCCACCGGCGTCTGCGACGTGCAGCTGCGCGAGGACCTGGCTGAAGCCATGAAGGAAGACCAAGGTAACTTTAATGCTCTACTATTTGTAATTTGCGGCATCCAGATTAGCCTAAAGTGATTTAATTTTTCTGAAACATAAATATTGATTTACTTAATAAAAAATATGTCGCGTTAAATATTTAACTGTTTTGATTGCATTACGACGTTAATTATACTTTATTCTAAAATCTCGTCTTTGCCTACTAGTAAAATCTATAAAACATGTCAGTTATATCAGAGTTTCAGATTTATTATTAAGTATAATGGGTTTTTAGATATACGGTTTAAAAAAATTGCGCTTTAAATCTCGAGAATAAAAATAAATAAATTAATATATATCGTCATTATATATTTTTCATTATTTCATTACAAACAATAACATTTACGGCACGCACATGTCATTTTCGAATCGTGAGTGAAAATGTGAACATCATCGTGTGAACGGATCTTAAGAAAACGCAAGTGCGCAGCTCGTCAATGCGGAGGAGTTACGAAGAAAGCATTATCATACATACGAGCGTCGAAATCGCCGCCGGCCCTATACCGAAGCCAAAGGCATCCATCGCACATAATTTAACACACCATCGTCGGCTTTCGACTAGCGTACCGTCATGCTTTTTTCTAAATCTCCTCCGGTGTAGTACGAGAGAGTAACGGTTGCCTTCGGTTTCGTATAGGGTGGCCGCGCGAGCGCAGCCCGGGCGGGGTCGGCGCGGGCGCGCGGGCGGCGCTGGTGGCGCGCGCGGTGGGCCCGCAGGGCTGCGTGGTGGCGTCGCCGCCCGCCGCGCCGCCGCCGCCGCTCGACGCCGACCTGTACACGCGCGCCAACCGCGACGAGGCCACCTTCCGGCCCGTGGTGCGCGCGCCGGCCGCGCTGCCGCCGCAGCCGCACGTGCTGGCGCGCCCGCTGCCGCGCACCACCACCATCCCCGTGCAGCCGCTGCCGGCGGACGGCGCCGCGCTGGCCGCCGCCGCGCCGCAGCCGCTCTCCACCGACGTCGTCATCCCGGCGGCCCTCTCCGCCGCCGCCGACGCGCCGACGGCGTGGGCGCGCGTCGAGCCCGAAAGACGCGACCGGGAGCTCGAGCTCCAGCGATCACTGCCAAATTCGAGCCGCACGTCGGCTGATATTCAGTCGGCAGCTCGACTTAGTGTTAGTAAATCTCCCACCTGTGAGACGTGTAGCGTCGATGAAGTTAGTTTTAAGCTATCGGGGCCTATAGATGACGAGAAGTTTGAGCCCGATGAAATTAGTCAGCGTAGTGTATCTAGGGAAGTCAGAGACAGTAGCGAAAACAGAGAATTTAGGGAATCTATAGATTTTAATAAAACGAAGGAAACCAGGAAATCCAGGAAAGTTAGTGGATCTAGGGACACCAGAGAGTCCAGCGTACCGATAGTTAAGGAAACGAAAGAACTTAGGAAAAATAAAAAATCCAATGAATCCATTAATGACAGACATCATTTCGATAATAAAGAATTCAGAGAAACCATGGAATTAAAAAACAAAACTAAGAATAATAATGATCCTTGGGAAATTCAGGTGCCCAGTATGCCTAACGAATATAACACACCGACAAACATTAAAGAACCATACGTGACGAAGGAAATAAAAGAAACTAGCGTGCCAAAAGAAGTGAAGGAATGTAGCACATTTAGAGATGGAGCAGATTCTAGAAAACATAAGGATTCTGTTTCAAGGAGGGAAATTAAAGAAACTAGTATACCGAGAGATATTAAAGAATCTAAGAGTCTAAAGGAATACAAGGAGCCTAGCGTACAAAGAGAAATTAAAGAGCCAACTAAACATAGAGATATTAAAGGAATATCAGAAAATAAAGAAGTTAAGAGTAAAGAATATAAAACAAAGTCGTTTGCAAATTTACACCAAGAAGCTAGTGAATCCAGTAAACATGACTATGATAAAAAAGATTCGCTCTCTAAGGAAAATCAATTCGATCCTACTTTAGTAAAGCCTTCTAAAAAGGGGACTCCTCAAGTTAAATCCAGGGATTGGAAAGAACATGATATTAAAACAGAGGAACAAGCATGGGATATGCTTCTTAGTGATGTTCAGAAACCTGGAATTATAAATATTAGTCAGCAAACTGTAGATAGTGATAAGAGTTCTGAGGAATCAAAACCCAAGTCTAAGAGAAATCGCAAAGTTAAAAAAGCTCATGATGATCTCGAAATAAAAGTAGAAGAGGACAGTTTTGTGGAAATACATGCTATTGAAGATAAACAGCAATCTTCTAGTGGTGAACTAGTTTCAATTTCAACTCCTTATGAAAATGTAAACTCATCCAGTTTTTATCTTCCTAAGCCTAGAAAATCTCGTATTTCCAAAAGTATGACCCCAGAAAGAAAGGAAGTAACCGAAAATGTAAATGAAGTAGGAAAAGAGGAATACCTAATAGCAATTGATAAATGTGATAGTCAGATTAAAGAGAATGATTCTCTGTCTGAACTAGGAAACTTATGTGATTTCAGTTCGATTGTGAAAGTTAAAGAAACACCGAGAGATAAGTTGAAATCGGATGCAAAGGATGAATTAACCCTTGAACGTACCTCTTTTACTAACAAAGAATCAGCGAAGTCGAAGAAAAGCAAATCTCTTTCACCATATACTGAAACACATAAATCAGCAGAGCGGATCTCAGATACGGAAACTAAAGATGTTTACGTTATAGACTCTACTAAGGAAGATTTTCCAGAAATTCAAATAACAAGAGGTAAACCACGAAAGAAGTCCCCACAACCTGTAGATAAAAGAAGTTTTGAATGTGAGATACCTGTTAAGTCTTGGAGTTCCATAGCCGCATCCAAAGGTACTAAGAAAGTCGAAGAAACGGAGAAAAAACTGGAAGTAACTCATGAGAAGAAATTGGAAGTAGAAAAAATCCAAGTGGTCAGTCTGAGAGATGAGCTTAGAGATGCAGCGTGTTTTTTAGATGACAATATAGAGTCTTCCAAAGATGTATCATTGCAAGAGAAACTGTATGAATTGTGCAAGAGAACAGATATTTTGGTAGCAGAATGCGACGCACCCTCTGAGCTTAACTTTGTTGAAGAACATCATGCAGTATTACAGGACTTTCCGCCGTTAGAGCCCTTGGATTTTGCATTAGATGACTTTAAGTTGGAAGTGATGCAAGATAGTCTTTTAGACGTCCACGACAATTCAATCACTAGTCCGATTTGTAAAATCAATATAGATGATATACTGTCATCAATAAAGGAAACCACATCAAAAGTAATCGAATCAAGTACTTTCAATTTGATTGATTTAGAAAAGGTTCCCGCCAAGCGAGAGAAGGGTTTTAGCGTGATCGAGAGTCATAAGATAACATCACAAGAAGTGGTAATAGATGATGAACCAAAGTCGGATGACAAAGATACAGAAATAATGGAAAAGTCATCAGACGATGACGCTACATCGCCAGTGGTGTCGACTGACAGTGACAAGGATGACAAGAAGGGTGTGGGTACGTCTAAAATTGTTCTGCCTTCTTCAAAGCAATCTAAATCTAAGAAGTCGCGTAGGAAGAAAAAGTAATATCAGATGATGTGTTCATATACTTACTTAATACTTTTCATTGCAATGTAACCATTAAATGATTCGTAAGGTAACAAAATATTTGCTGCTATTGTAGTTGTGTTAGTTTTAAGTGAGGCAATTTAAAATTGATATGCACAGGTAAAATATTATAAAAAATAATATAAAATGAAATAGTGCCACTCGAGCCTAATACATTATTACACACGATCTTAATATAAAATTTCTGTCATATCGAAAAAAATAATATAAAAATGTAAAAAATTAGCAAAATAACAAAAACAAATTGTTATTAGAATTTTTATGAAGATAAGTAGCAGAATTTAATAATATTTTACTTATTAGTTACATGAACAATATAATATTTATGGCTTTGATATACTTTATTTTTTTATTATTTAAAAATGATCAGATTAATAATAATATTAATATAAATGTAATAAAATGAGCGTGTAGTATCGCAATGTAATTATTAGTTACAATTTAATTATAAAATATCTCTTAACATCAAATTAGTGTACTCAGAAGAAAAATATGTTTTAGTTTAAGTTAGTCAATATAATGACAGGTAGATGTATTAAGTACATAAAAAATTCTTCATAAAAATTCTAACCATATGATGTGTAACTGACCCTTTAGTAGTATTTTGGTTCATTTATTCACGCCACGACCTGTACTTGTTGTATAAACACGTTCTTAGTAAAAAATGCAACTAATTAATGGGATCTCGATACAAATGCTGACAGAAAATTAATATAGTCTGTTGGTGTCACATTATACACGAATCTGCTGGAGTTAGGTAGGTTACTTAGATTTAATATCCACTAGAGCAGTGGTTTTCAAACTGTGCCGCGACACATGTGCTCACTAATCAATTCTCAGGACACCGCGATCATAAAAAAGTGCCTACTACATTAACTGCGATACGTTTTCAATCACTGACGAAGATAGTAATTTTTGCCTTGGATCTAGGGGATCTAAAGTGGGATCGCGTAAATGAAATAGTTTGAAAGCCACTGGAGTTATATTTGAGCTATTGAACAAGTTTCTTCGTTCTTACAAATCCAAACATACATCATACAAGCTCTGTGGACGGCTTTTTCTCTGTATTAAAGTGGATAATATATTATATAATGATATTATTCACAGCCAATAAAATTGTAAACACGTACTTATCGTTCTAACACATAGTGCGTAATTGAAATCTTCTTAATTGTATGCGACAGATTAAATGTTAAGTTAATTATGTTTTATGGCCAGTGTTTTAGTGTGCAGTACCATGCAATGTATATATGTAGTATTTTATTTTATACCATATTACCTTGTAACATGTAATTTTATTGATTGAAGCTTTAGGTATTTCAAAGACAACTTTCTACGCATGTATTTATTAACCTGTAATTTAATTAACACATGTAAACAAATTTAAACCATAAACCAATAAATAAATGCTCTCTTTTTGACTAACATAAGTTGTTATTGGAATACTAAACCTTATCATGAGCCTTGCACATATTTCTTTTAAACATTATTAATGTGCTTCATAATAATTAAAAAGAATGTCAGAGATTTAAAATAATATAATTAATATAGAATTTGATGTCTTATTTCAAGCTTTCTATTGCATCATATTAAATATTATCAAATAGACTCATGAGATTTATGGACAAAATTGTTATTATGTAATATAATTGCTGATAATTCTTATAGAAACAAATTAAAATTTTCGATTTTGCTATGCATGAACTATAAAACAGTTGCAATTGCGAGCTATATAACTCGGATTGTCACTGCAACTGATGATTCATATTTATTCGCTTTGTCATAGATTTTAACCTGTTAAAATAAAAATTCAGTCAATCAATCAATTGTTGGCATGAAATTGAGCCCTAGATCAATTGTATTTTTTTTTTTATTAAATCTTAGACTGATCAAGTATTGCTGTCGACTTTCTTTAATATTCATAAAGTAATTAAGATATTGTTTTTGCATAAATCACATGAGTTAATGAGATATTGTGACACAGAATAGACAGTGGTCCTTCTCTATCAGTGAAATGAAGTCTAGGTCTGTAACAAAATTTGCTCTGTTTGATTTTGGGCATACCTTGGTCTATTCTCTATATACATTTAGTTACTTTATTCAGACTGTAAATAAATATTATACACAAGCATCAAATATAAGACTCACAACATATCTATTATATAGAATATTAGAAAAAAAAACCATGAAAACTTTTTATTGTAGTACAGTTAAATGTTTATAAGAAATAGTTTTTACCGTTAACATGTTAACGATATCTGTATTTCTTTCTCTGTGTCTATTTCTTCAACATTTCCGTTCCATTTCTGTATGTGGCTCACTACTGATTCCAGGTATTGTCCTGGGAAAGTATGTAGAGCCACATATGTATAGATAGATACATTATATTACCTCAGTATTACGTCGCTCGATGCATATTGTAATGTTTGTATGACATAGTCGCATGGTATATAATACCTTTATTCGACCACGGCTGTCTTATGTACAAAATATTTCGTTATTATTATACTGTCAAGTATTAATCATAATTTAATAGGAAAATTGTTTTAGTCCTAATATGTTGAATCATGACAAGATATTTATTTTTTCTACGTGATATGTAAGTGGAAGTTGTTTTATTTTGTAACAATTAATAATGTATTCATGTTTGGTGCACAATGTTTGTAATAATTTTGTTAGTCTGGATACCAAGATCAAATTAAATATATCACCGTTTATAGATCTTGCTTGTTTTACTTTAAAAAAATAATGAAATATTAATATCACTAAATGTTTTTAAAAAGTACGATGGTATCATGACTTCTCATTACAATTAAATAGAGAGAAGAAAATGTATTTTAAATGATAAAATCTGGCTGCTAATAAACCAATTTATTATTGTAGTTGAATTTACAGATTTAATTTGTATTCTTATGTGTATAGCTTTATAATAATATTGTTTATTTAATAGATTCGAGTCTAATTAACCATGAACATTTAATGATTAATACGAGAAATTGTTTTTAATAGTTTAGATTACAAAAAGTTTGAATCAATCTCACGTTATTAAATTATAATCCACAAGGCAACTGAAGAAAAAAAAATACAACAAACAACAGAATTAACGCAATCCCTTGAAGTAGTTGTATATTTAAACTTAATTACTAAGTCCATATAAGTTGTTTTTGTAGGCTTAGTTGTTTGGAAAAATTGTATGAAAAATTAATTTCAAAATTTTCCATATAAAACAGAAAAATAATATACTTTAGACAATTACGATTTTTTGGTTAAAAAAATGGTTATATTTTTTTGTTTAATTATATTTGTTCAATAAGTTTAAAACAAAATTTTTAATTGCGTTAAATCTGTTATACGGCTGTAGTTGTAATTGAGTTATAATATTTCTAAGTTAACGGGAAATTTATTTGTGTGGCAACTAGTATCAAATGTAAACACATGTGTGCTATATTTATTTTATTTGATGAATAGTTAGATAAATAATTGAATGTACATGTAAATTATTTTTAAAATGTTTCCATGTGGTACAGTAGGAAGTATATAAGCGGGAAATTTCTTTATATGCTCAATCCGTTAGACATTTTAATGTTTCCTTGCCCCCGCTTACGAGAGATATGTATGTAGATAGAATATCAAAAGACACGATTATTAGGCAGCTGTATTCCATTTAATCTCAGTGTTATAAGTCAGGACTGTAACTGATTTTATATTAGGACAACACGTAATAATATATATTTGTATCTCATCAAGTTGATATAAATGTATGTTTCTTGAAACAACTTACATTCAAGACGTCAAGTTTGCAAAAGGCACTTGAGGTGGTAGGAGAGAGAGAATTGTGCTGATTGCACTAAAATGGCCGCTTTTTTTAACGGTACATATTGCAAATATTTATTTGATTTGATTTAATTGACATAGAAGATCGACAATTATAGGAACTGTAAATATGAATAATTTATTATAGATCGATCATTCCGGTTGATGAAATGGATAAGTGTATCTACCTCCTGTGGAGTTGAGACTATTGGACACAGTAAAATGTTAAGTACATACGAAATTTGCTATTAAGTAAATACAAAATATAATCATAAATACCTCTTTTTCTCTATACGTACTCTATACTTATTTAGTTAACATCGTTATATAAAAAAAAATTAGAATGAACAGGTTTTAATATGAATTGTGTCTATAATTTTTGTGTAGAATATGTATTTTTTTAAATAAGTAATATCACTAAAGAAACTAGAGAAAGTTTGTTTACTAAATGCTAACGTATAGAAAAATAGAATGTATGAGCTACAGAAATTATTGTTGCACTTCGAATGTACCTAATATTGGGTCTTAATTATATTACTACAATAACATCCCAGTATAATTGTTTTCATAGTTCCAATACTGAAAGAGCCAGTAGCAAATAGCTTTATTTAACGTGTATACTCAAAGATGATACTGCTGTATAAAAAGCTATATGTACTGTATTTAAGATTCTGTTTCTGGTGTTACCATTTGCACGGATTTGGCCGGACTTTTTAGAGTTTTTATTATATTTATTCGGATTATTTTCTTTATATTATTAAACGTTTATTTGTTGCTTAAAGTAGCTTAAAAAGAACGTTTAAGTATTAAATCTATTATGAATATTTATTATTACATATTGAATAACCTTTTTACGATTGAAAACAATTAACTCTATATTAATAGTAAAATGTTCGGACTTGTTTTTAATTAATAGAAATTTGCAATTTTCTATGTGGTTAACTCTATGTGTTTTAGTCTTCTGAATTCAACACCACTTTGATAGACGCACCCTAAGTGTGCTCACCATTTAGCTAATATAATAACCCTTCAGTTTGCTAATTTCTTTTTAAATTTAACACCTGTTACAACCACTGGTAAGATTCGGTGATTATATTAATTTTATGTGGTAATTCCTTTGTTTTATATATTGAAAGAAATCCCAAGATATAGTTAGCGGAAAATAAAATATAAATTGGATGTAATAATTGAAGCTCTTTCATAAATTAAGGTTTGTATTAAATTCCATACGATCTTGTTTGAATATTTTAATATATACATAGATTTTACAATTATTATCTTTATGGGGGTTATTAGGGCGCTTTCACATGACCTCGTGTTGGAAGGGTCGCGGTGTTCATCAACGGTCTCTCCGTTTCCCTTGTGACGTTAGTTGAGACCAAATTCACTACTAACGTCACAAGGGAAACGGAGAGACCGTTTCCCTTGTGACGTTAGCGCCACCATCCGAAATGTGAAAACTGTTAAACTTAAACTATGTAGTGTGAAAGTGCCCTTACACTATCATATTTATAGGATTTATATTAAACGAGTCATAAATACAGGGTGGAAATAATAAGTGATCTCACTCGTTTGTATCTAATATTATAAAACTTAGAGATACTGAAAGCGCGTCTCTAGCTTAATAAATTAATGTACACGTGATCCTATACGTATAATAATGTAATAATCCCCCACGGCAGGTATAATATAAAATTGGCTTTATTATTAATTAATGAACTTTTACTGTATATTATTGTAGCACTTAAAAATTTTGCTACTCGAGACAAAACCATTGAGAAGTAGGATGTGCGTTATTGTAATATTTCTATTTGATAACAAATTGTAGTTGGTATCAAAAAGATTTGCCTGTTACAAAAAAAATAATATAAATTAAATTTAAAATTGTATTTTAAATTTGGCTGCCTTGTCTCAGTATGATTTTGTTGTTAATGTTATATGGAGTGTTTTAAAAATCGTAATATAGAGCATAATAAAAATGAAAGATCAAAAACCAATTTACGTATTTTCATTTGACTGACCTTTTTCTGCATAACGTGGATGTAAAATGTGATTTTTGCACTACACTGGTAATATTATATGCACCCGATGAATATCTGTTTATATTATTTTAGGTACCACTATAAAAAAATATATAAAACTGATTAACAATGGAGTAAAAGTTAACATAAAACGGATCTCAACGGGGGATAGAGCAGACTATATTGTCCACTTTCTGAGCGCATACGTCTTCGTTTCGATATAGATTAGTAAAAGAATTTGCTAAAACGAGTCATTTAGGAAGCTCTCAATTATTTGATCTATTAATCAGTAATCAAATAACGTGTACGAAATGGGAATGTTTAAAAGTAACTAAGTTTATACCTATTTCTACAGCATTATTAGAGATTGCACACAGAATGGTTGGATGCAATATCCAACCCCTTTTCAGAAGCCGCAACTTACGACCGACGAATGCCATGATAGATGCTATCATGGCATTCGTCGTAAGTTGCCCCCCATATATTATGCGATATCCTTGTTTATTTGTATTTTATGTAGTTAAAAAAATCAAAATTATCACCTGTTTTTCTTGTACACACTGGTGGAGCATCAGGAGGTTGACAAGATGCCTGTGCATGAGGTCAGGTCACTTAGCCCATTCTAATAAATTTACCATGAATTTATTACGATGGTTTCCAGGAGAAACCACGGTGGATGTCAACCTGACAGTACATTGCGAGCAATGGTGTTATCAGTCCATATTACTACAATCCCCTACCCCTTCCTCGTTATCTTTGTATTAAGTTTCTGAAGAATTAAAAGAATACGTACTTCAATTCCAGCTATAACTGGCAGTGGTCGCTACGAGGCAGAACCTGAAGAGTTGAGCTCGAGTAGCTTCAGTTCTGCATCCCGCGCATCCCTCGACCCTCCATCGTCACCCACGCCCAGCTGCAGTGGCGATAACCTGCTGCACTTCCCAGGAGATTCCAGCAGTTCTGTTTAACACGTAAATCACCTAATGGCCCACTGACAGTGAAACGTTATCACTGTTATTGTTTCTAATGTTATAGTATCTAATAATTGTGACTTAAGACACAAGGGATTTTTGTACACGAAGATGGAATAGAGAGTCCATCTGCAATATAGATAGGCTGGTAAGATGCCAGTGGCAGTTATTAGGTTGAGGTCATCCGCATCCTATCAACTGCCAGTTCCACAATTAACTTTATAGTTCACTGTGACTCAGGTTGCATTGTTAGTAATAGACCAAGAGTCCATTACTTACAATCCTCTCATCTCTTTCACAACAGTTTCTAAAGAACGTGAGAGGATAATTCTATAGTACTGCAAGCGTGTGTATTGGATTCTTATTGTTATTTAAAGAAACAAAATTTCGATAGCCAGTCATGGTTATAAATAAATAAAGTCAGGGATGTGATATCGGAAGTCACAAGTCTTTGGTGTTCATGGACCATACAAGCCAAGATATTGTAGGTTTAGTTCAGCTCCCGTTGGAACTCGGTTCTCTCTGGCTATCTCATGTCAGGGAAGTAAATATAATAAAATGTATTTTATTAAACTGTAACATATCCGATAAATAGAAGCGTGTCAAGGCCATATGTGGGAAGATAAGAAAATGCTTGATGTGGGTGTGTATTAAATGTATTAATATTATTTAGGTTATCTATTAAACGTTCACATTTATAAGCAAACAAGGAATTGTAAAAAGAACCTCAAGTACTTTTTTAATGTACGTTGTAAGAAAACAGTTGCAATGCATTAAGTACGCACTGGACATTAAAATTCAGCATCCCTCTCTAAAATAAATATAAATGCACGATAAAAGTGGGGGACTATTCCCATACCGTAAAGAACTTTTTAACGTAACAAGACATCTAAAACACCTCCTAACATCAGTTTTTCTATTAATAAGATCGGAGAAGCGACTTATGATGATTGAAAATGCTACGTGTACCCTTTGTTAGAGGAATGAGGCAGGGGATCGTAGTTACGATGGCCTGAGTCCAGGTTCGAACCCCTCACAGTGTCCTCAAACTAAAGTCGTATCTATCAGTCAGGGGGTTGACTTTAAGAACTTGTAGTGGGTTTAGAATGCTGTCTGCAGACGCCCCATTTTCGACGGTGAAGTTGTAAAATTCAGCTGCGGCTAACAGGATTAAGTATTTTTTGAAATAAGAGCTCCTTAAATTAATACATACAAAAACATGAGGTTTAAATGGTTACAAATTCAGTTTATTGGTTGTTTTAAGCTGGTTGTACAAAGTAATTGTAGGTGGAATGCAATGCGGTACTATGATAGAAAGGCGCAATTAGCGGTAATATGACAATGTTAGTATTATGTTGGATAAAAACATCGTATGACTAATTAATGGCGTCGCGGAATTGATTGCACAACATGACTATGCAGACGCTTTGTTCAGGCAGCAGCAGGGACAGTGTTGATAATAGGATTGCCATTATAAAACTATTTAAAATCTGTATATTTTAATTACGAAATTATAGTAATGGCATGTATTTATCAGGATTCGATTTAATATCATTGTTCTAAATTCATTGAACATTAAATTTCATATAATAATTTTTCATGTAAGTAAATTACGAATAAATCCAAAAATGTTGGACAGTCCAAACAAATCGAGATGGTGATCCTAGTCGGTAGCGAAATAAAACAGTATGTACACACAGACTGGAAGAAATATGTATATAATCTCGATAAGTAACTCACGTACAATTAATGTGATAATATATACATAGCAGGTAAAATTAAAAAAAAACCACTATCAAATTTCAACATTTGCAAGACTATTAAATGTATAATTTAGTACTGTTAAAAATTTTTATCTCATGATATCATTAACAATTTTATCATTCTCATAAAAACCTCTAATATTTCAATTAACAATTTTATAATTCTCATAAAAATCTCTAACATTTCAAATGCAGTATGGTAAAACTAAAAAACTATCTCAATCAAAAATGTCTTATTGATAGATACTAATTCCATATTCAGGTCGCTAGCAACAAAAAGTTAATTGTTTCCTATACAATATTAAAACGAAAAAGAGAGCCGTCAAATTTAATTGCTTATTTTTAATACGGATATTGTGTAGCATTTATATAACTAAAGTTTAGAATTAATAATTTATGAAAAACTATATATTATCTATACCAATATCGATAATGTACTTTTATATAGACGTACAGGCAGATGGCGTTGAAATT